GGCTGTTCCCTTGGAGTATTCTACTTGTTCCTGAGTGTATGTTGGAGAAACCAGGGGTGGAGAGTCCCTGCTAGGACTAGGGATCCGCTACAGTGACTTTTCGAGAACCATCTCGACCAAACTGTTTATTAGCAGGATCACAGCTCTCAGCAATCCCGATTATTAGCCCATCCGCTCTTAAAGCACTAGCCTCAAATTAATGTGAAAGGGGTGATTACTGTGAGCATGTAATGAATGTTGATATCTGTTAATTTGTTAAATACACCAGCATAGAAAACTTCCTCAATGTTCAGAGATTCTGTAACACCTAAAAACGAATCCTTTCAAGATCGTATTCTAACTAGAGCTGTAAATTTAAATCGCTAGCATTGACCACCTTAAAAAAATAACATCTGACTAATCGTGATCAGGTCATCAATGTAATATTTAGGCTTCAAATCTCCCACCAACCTATATACGGGTTGGCACAGCAAAGGGCAAAACCAGCCACAAGCGAAAAAATGAATTGTAAAAATGAAAGCTGTGTAAACCAGATTTACAATAAGCAACATTTGCACATTAATCAATTAAAACGATTATTTAGAAAGGCTGAACTTGATGGACGCAACTTTGTTTTCAGCCTAAGTTCCAATGTAATGTACACGGTAAGTACATCACAACATATACATTTTAATTTGTGGTCAGTCGGCGTGCTAAAATAGTCGGTAAATGTAATTATTTATAAAATATTTTACCAGGAAGGATACATTGAGATTTCTCTTGTTTTCAAGTATGTCCTGGGTCAGTGAATAAACTTGCAGTTATGAGATTTCTAACAACCCTCATTGTGATTAGTAAATTGCTGGTAGTTGTAATTAATTCTTGATGTCTGTTTCTATTACAATGTAATGTGCAGGTCTCGTTTGGCGCGGTTTGGGGATATGGAAGAGGAGCATGTATTATATGTCAGGAACGCTAGTCACCTGTGAAATATAAACCTAATTCTGCTTATAATCCAATGCAAGACACGCAGCCTCCCAACGGTGGCAGGACTACAACTCCCATCATGCACGATGCAGGTCCTCATAAAAATACACAGGCATATTATTTATTCATTGTTTCTTAGTACCACAGGATGAAATCTCGCCCAACTCCGTTAGTGTGTCCTGTCTCATTTTTACTCCCACAAACATTCTCTCCTTGGCGCACCATTCTGTTTTAACTTTATAACGCCTCTTTTGGCAAACGTATTGGTTCATTTAAATTCCAGTACCAGCCACACTCTCAGCCTTATTTACTAAATTGAATTCAAAGTGAATTTCAAATTTAAAGTTCAAGTAGCTAAACTGGAAAAAGAAAAATCTCTAAAAACAGCTATGCTTCTGGTTCAGTTCAGTTTAAATTTGAAATTCACTTTAAGTTTGAATTCTCGCTTTTGTTATTAACCCTGTCTAAGGCCAAAACTATGTGAACACTCCTAGTAATCGTAGTTTGCCTCAAGTCAGTTTGTAATATTTCTTCCCTGCTAGATCTGCTCTGGTCAGTGGTAAGTGCTATTATTGTGAAGTAACATCCAAGTTGACGAAGGGGTGCAGAGGGCTTTATTGAGTAGCACACGTTAACCACCTTCTATCTCTTCAATTACTCACGACAGAGATCCAAACTGCCTCTGAAAACAACATCAGCACAAGAACTGCATCGGGAGTTTCACGAAATGGCTTTTCTTGGCCGAGCAGCTGTACGCAAACCTTGAATAAACATGTGTAATGCCAAACGTCAGTGATGTAAAGAAATGCCACCTGCGAACAAGACCTTCTCATCTAACACAAGGGTCACATCTCACAAATGCTCTTTTGGTTGAATGGGCAAAAATTCCCCAAATGCCAAAATCTTGTGGAAATTGTATAATGTATTAACTGGTGAAGATATACCTCTCCTCCCCGGTACTCTCTCCTAGCCTTCTAGAAAGTTCCACCAGTGGCCCCTACCATCATCAACTGGATGTCCTCCTGCTTTGAAAACCCACCATTTTAAAACAGAGCTCATCTATACATACCCTCCTCTGTCACTCTCCCTTTGAGGTGATGGTACGACTCCCGACAGAACATTGGAAACCCCCTGCCTTGGTGTTATCATTGCCCCCATCTTCAACTTTACCCCATTCCAGTCTGCCACCAAATCCAGTCATTTCACCTTAAAAACAGCTTCTGCACTTGCTCCTTTCTTACATAACATGCTGCCAAGGAACTCATTCACGCTCTTCTTATCTCCTGAATAAATTGCTGTAATTCTCTCCTAAAATGTCTCTTTAGAACTAATATGGTCTGTCTACAGTCCAAAAGAAGAGCTGCTGCCAGGCTTATCTTTCTTTTTCGTTGCTCCTTTTGCACCTCACCCCTTTGCCTATCGCTACATTGGCATCCTGTATCTTTAAAAAAAATTAATTTATGGTACAAACACTTGTGTACAAAACTTCACTAATTTATAAATATAAATAAATATTTATAAATGGTTTTCTATTATATTTTCCCAATAAAGTTGTAAAGTGCAGCTGAAGGTGCTGGTGCAAATTAAATATCAATAATAATAATTCATTATTTTAATAATAGCACTTAGATAAATCTCCCTCAACGATTCCATTCCTCCAGAGTAAATATTTTAATTAAGAATGGGAGATTGTGAAGTAAAAGGTTAGTGGAAGATTATATTATACATGTGTGTATGTAAATATGAAAGGCTGGAAGTAACTGATTGCCCCAGCAAAGTGGCCACATTCCCATCCTAGGGCAATTACAATGATATCCTCGGCTGGGGCAGTTACAGAGATATATCCAGCTGGGGCAGTTACAGAAATATCCCCAGCTGGGGCAGTTACAGATATATCTCAAGCTGGAGCAGTTACAGAGATAGCTCAGGCTGGGGCAGTTACAGAGATATCACCGGTTGGGGCAGTTACAGAGATATCCATGGCTGGGGCAGTTACAGAGATATCCCTGGCTGGGGCAGTTACAGAGATATCCCCGGATGGGGCAGTTGCAGAAATATCCCCAGCTGGGGCAGTTACAGAGATATCTCCAGCTGGAGCAGTTACAGAGATAGTAATGTGTGCTAGTGAGTGGAGCAATTTATACCATATATAAGACAGAAGAAAGAGTATATATATACAAACTGGTTTCGATTGTGTAGTTGTGAAGTGTAACTTCCAGCAATAATGGTATATATGTAAAGAAAAAAGGGAAAAAAAGCAATGATAGTGCAGATTGTATAAAAAATATATAAGCATATATACTTATAACAATTCATAAATTGTGAAGTATCACTTTAAGAAATATTTGGTGAAACCCCAATAGGAAAAAGCTGACATAAATTTATTATCTGCCACATGCAGAAAAAGCAGTACATATATACATAAAATAGAATAATAAAAAATGATGATAAAAAATAGGGTGACAAGCCCCTTACTAGATAAGGTGGTGAGTTTGACACATATATGTCAACTCACTATCAGAGTTCAATCATTAGGGTGGTAGGCTGCTCGTCCGGCGTTCTTCCTGTTCGGCTGCTAGAGAATCTCCTCGTGTATTGTCTGCTGCCAGAAAACAAACGCCTCCGGACTCCGTGGTCTGTAAGCTCCTCCCCCTTTGTATGACGTCAAAGCGTTTCGCCAATCGGCTTCCTCAGGACGTGAGCACAGTTACAGAGATATCCCCGGCTGGGGCAGTTACAGAGATATCCCCGGATGGGGCAGTTACAGAGATATCACTGGTTGGGGCAGTTACAGAGATATCCATGGCTGGGGCAGTTACAGAGATATCTCTGGCTGGGGCAGTTACAGAGGTATCCCTGGCTGGGGCAGTTACAGAGATACCTCTGGCTGGGGCAGTTACAGAAGTAACCCCGGTTGGGGCAATTACAGAGATATCTCCAGCTGGAGCAGTTACAGAGGTATCCCCGGTTGGGGCAGTTACACAGATATCCCCGACTGGGGTAGTTACAGAGATATCTCTGGCTGGGGCAGTTACAGAGATATCTCTGGCTGGGGCAGTTACAGAGATATCTCTGGCTGGGGCAGTTACAGAGGTAACCCCGGTTCGGGCAGTTACAGAGATATCTCCAGCTGGAGCAGTTACAGAGATATATCTGGCTGGGGCAGTTACAGAGGTAACCCCGGTTGGGGCAGTTACAGAGATATCTCCAGCTGAAGCAGTTACAGAGATATCTCTGGCTGGGGCAGTTACAGAGATACCTACAGCTGGAGCAGTTACAGAGGTATCCCTGGCTGGGGCAGTTACAGAGGTGACCCCGGTTGGGGCAGTGACAGAAATATCCAAGGCTGGGGCAGTTACAGAGATAGAATTTACGGTAGGTGTTATAATAAGAAGCAAGGTGTGGTGCTGAATGGACAGCTCCCTGCAATGAACACATTGTCCCTCTTATTGCCTACTCATCTATAATGTATAGACGGGAAAGGGACATAAATGGGGGTCCTTGGACTCCTTTATAGACTCTCCGGTTACAGTAACCAAATTATTTAATCTTCCATCTTCGTATATTCCTCACTGTGTCAGGGACTGAGGATAATATTAACAAATTCACCAGGATTCAAGCAGGAAATGAGCTAGAATAGCAAGCGACAGACTAATTAGAAGAGTAATTTAAGATGTGTGTAGCAATGCAGAGCGTCAGCTAAAGACCAGAGCTTCTTCCTATTCACCCAGTAACCCTGTGAATCAGCCAGTTCATTCTCACATCATGAGAATCTACCTATTCACTCCCACGATCTTTAGAATCTGTTAATTCACCCTTAAATTCTGCCCACTCACCCTGAGAATCTGTTCGTTTACCACGAGAATCTGTCCATTCAGCCCACGAATCTGCCCATTCACACCGAGAATCTGCCCATTCACCCAGAGAATCTGTCCATTCAGCCCAAGAATCTGCCCATTCACGCCGAGAATCTGCCCATTCGCCATGAGAATCTATCCATTCACCCCGATAATCTGCCCATTTACCCTGATAATATGCCCTTTTACTCCGAGAATCTGCCCATTCACCCTGAGAATCTGGTCATTCACCATGAGAATCTATCCATTCACCCTGAGAATCTGCCCATTCACCCAAAGAATCTGCCCATTCACCCCGAGAATCTGTCCATTCAGCCCAAGAATCTGCCCATTCACGCGAGAATCTGCCCATTCGCCATGAGAATCTATCCATTCACCCCGAGAATCTGGTCATTCACCATGAGAATCTATCTATTCACCCTAAGAATCTGCCCATTCACCCAGAGAATCTGCCCATTCACCCCGAGAATCTGGTCATTCACCATGAGATTGGGGTAAAAGCCCTAACAGTGAAGATGATTCAGTAGGAACCTGCCTGGAATTAAAGCATTATTAAGCATTTTATTCAGTCATGATAAACCACCAGCCATCCCATGGGTGTCATTGGGCTAGGAGATTTAGATTTTGGCTCAGAGAGCGGTTTATGGGTGGCATTGGGCTAGGAGATTTAGTCTTTGGCTCAGAGAGCGGTCCATGGGTGGCATTGGGCTAGGAGATTTAGTTTTTGGCTCAGAGAGCTGTCCATGGGTGGCATTGGGCTAGGAGATTTGGTTTTTGGCTCAGAGAGCTGTCCATGGGTGGCATTGGGCTAGGAGATTTGTTTTTTGGCTCAGAGAGCGGTCCATGGGTGGCATTGGGCTAGGAGATTTAGATTTTGGCTCAGAGAGCTGTCCATGGGTGGCATTGGCTCAGAGAGCGGTCCATGGGTGGCATTGGGCTAGGAGATTTAGATTTTGGCTCAGAGAGCTGTCTATGGGTGGCATTGGCTCAGAGAGCTGTCCATGGGTGGCATTGGGCTAGGAGATTTAGTTTTTGGCTCAGAGAGCTGTCCATGGGTAGCATTGGGCTAGGAGATTTGGTTTTTGGCTCAGAGAGCTGTCCATGGGTGGCATTGGGCTAGGAGATTTGGTTTTTGGCTCAGAGAGCTGTCCATGGGTAGCATTGGGCTAGGAGATTTGGTTTTTGGCTCAGAGAGCTGTCCATGGGTGGCATTGGGCTAGGAGATTTGGTTTTTGGCTCAGAGAGCTGTCCATGGGTGGCATTGGGCTAGGAGATTTGGTTTTTGGCTCAGAGAGCTGTCCATGGGTGGCATTGGGCTAGGAGATTTGTTTTTTGGCTCAGAGAGCGGTCCATGGGTGGCATTGGGCTAGGAGATTTAGATTTTGGCTCAGAGAGCTGTCCATGTGGCATTGGGCTAGGAGATTTAGTTTTTGGCTCAGAGAGCTGTCCATGGGTAGCATTGGGCTAGGAGATTGAGTTTTTGGCTCAGAGAGCTGTCCATCGGTGGCATTGGGCTAGGAGATTTGGTTTTTGGCTCAGAGAGCTGTCCATGGGTGGCATTGGGCTAGGAGATTTGGTTTTTGGCTCAGAGAGCTGTCCATGGGTGGCATTGGGCTAGGAGATTTGGTTTTTGGCTCAGAGAGCTGTCTTACTGGGATTTTTGTGGTGTCACAGAGGGTTATATGGAATATTAAAGCCTGTTTGCTGTGAAGGAGCTGCTGCAGGACCTCTCTGGGTGCCTTATTACTGTGCATTGTGTAGGTCTGATGGGAAAGAGGTGTTGCAGCAGCTGAGGTCATCGCATTATTCCGTCTTCTTTGATAAATACCTCCCTTCTCCTCTCCTTTCAGTTCAGCTTGGCGAGGGAAGGGTTAAACGAGGGCGTGGCTTAGCTAGACTGGGCGGAGCCTGAGACCCAGAGAGCTGGCTGCAGAGGATGAATGATGTTCCTTGTTTGCATTGAGGAGCTGCAGAGAATGGAAGCCATGAGCCCCCCCACCCTTAGCCCTCCACTCTGAGACCACCCTAACCCTGAGACAGACCCCCATCCAGACCACCCCCACCCTGAGACCACTCTGAGACCACCCCAACCCTGAGACAGCCACCTGAGCCCACCATCCAGACCACCCCCACCCTGAGCCCTCTACTCTGAGACCCCCACCCTGAGCCCTCTACTCTGAGACCCCCACCCTGGGCCCTCACTCTGAGACAGCCACCTGAGCCCCCCATCCAGACCACCCCCACCCTGAGCCCTCTACTCTGAGACCCCCACCCTGAGCCCTCTACTCTGAGACCCCCACCCTGAGCCCTCCACTCTGAGACAGCCACCTGAGCCCTCTACTCTGAGACCCCCACCCTGAGACAGACCCCCACCCTGTGCCCTCTACTCTGAGACCTCCACCCTGTGCCCTCTACTCTGAGACCCCCACCCTGAGACAGACCCCCACCTTGAGCCCCCATCAGACCCCCACCCTGAGGCCCTCCCACTCTGATACAGACACCTGAGCCCCCCATCCAGACCACCCCAACCCTGGGACAGACCCCCACCTGAGCCCCTCACCCTGGGCCCTCACTCTGAGACAGACCCCCCTCCTGAGACAGAAACACACCTTGAGCCCCCATGGCTACCCCCACCCTGAGCCCTCCACTCTGGACAGCCACCTGAGCCCCCTACCCTACACAGCCTTCCATGCTCAGCCCCCATCCTCAGACAGACCCCCACCCTGTTCCCCCACCCTGCATACCATGATCCCCCACCCGGAGACAGACCCCCACCCTGAGCCCCCTACCCTTACACAGCCTTCCATCCTCAGCCATCCATCCTGATCCAGCCCCCCATCCTGATCCCCCCACCTGAGCCAGCCCTCCATCTTGAGCCCCTCCACCTTGAGACAGACCCCACCCTGAGATAGCCCCCCCTTCCTGGCCCTCCAGTCTGCCAGCCATGGTGCCCCCCACTAGCAGTGTGGTTTTGCGGTGAGACCCCCCCATCATGGTGCAGAAATCTCGCAATGGGGGGTGTACCCCGCCCGCAGAGAAGAAGCTGAAGGTGGGCTTCGTGGAGTCTGGACCCGGGGGCCCCGGAATCCCAGGGATGGGGCCCTTCTCATAGACGGCTCAGAGCTGAAGCGGGGCAGCATCCTCACAAGCCCAGGTCGGGGGTCTGCGGCCCGGGAAGCCCCCAAACGGAATGCACTTCTACCGCAAACTACAGAACTTCCTCTACAACGTGCTGGAGACCCCGGGGCTGGGCCTTCATCTACCATGCCTATGTGTGAGTACAAAGATGGGGGCTGTACCCCAATAATAACTGTGTGAACACAAAGGGGGGACTGCACCCCAATAATAACTGTGTGAACACAAAGGGGGGGGGCTGCACCCCAATAATAACTGTGTGAGTACAAAGATGGGGGCTGTACCCCAATAATAACTGTGTGAACACAAAGGGGGGACTGCACCCCAATAATAACTGTGTGAACACAAAGGGGGGGGGCTGCACCCCAATAATAACTGTGTGAGTACAAAGATGGGGGCTGTACCCCAATAATAACTGTGTGAACACAAAGGGGGGACTGCACCCCAATAATAACTGTGTGAACACAAAGGGGGGGCTGCACCCCAATAATAGCTGTGTGAGTAAAAAGATGGGGGCTGTACTCCAATAATAACTGTGTGAACACAAAGAGGTGGGGCAGTACCCCAATAATAACTGTGAGTACAAAGAGGGAGCTGCACCCCGATAATATGCCTAATATATAATAGAAAAGTTGTGTAGAGATCCAAATAAACTGGCAATGTCCGTAGGCCTAATTACATGTTATTTATTATATACATACATACTGTGCTGGTAGCATGTAGAGGGCCCCAATAATGTGACAATTATGCAATACCAATTGGGGAGTACAGAGAGGGGTGCTTAGCCCCAATAATGTGACAATTATACAATGCCAATTGGGGAGAATGGAGAGCAATGCTGATCCCCAATAATATGACAGTTATGCAGTGCTAATTGGGGATTCCAGAGAGGGGTGCCAAGCCCCAATAATGTGACAGTTATACAATGTTATTTGGGGGGCATGGAGAGGGGTGCTGAGCCCCAATATTGGGACAGTTATACTAGTCCACTTATTAGAATTATGGGCGCAGGGCTATGGTAATATAAGTTATGTGATGTAGCTGTTGGTGTGAGTACAGTAACCCCAATATTGTGTCATTACATAATGTTTACATATCTAGTCTGTATCTCGATAGTCAGAGTCCCCTTTATGGGTAACCCCACATTATAGACTCAGTCTGAAACCCACTGACATGTTGCTGTGAGCTGCGCTCCTCTGTTGTCTGCTTTTATTGGAAGTTGTGTAAGAGAATCGCAAAGGGTTAATCCCATAATACAACTCTGAATGTAAAATTTAACCCTTTTGTCACAGTTCTGGATTTGTGTGGCTGACTTGCTGGAGACCAATATAGAAAAACAGAGCAATTTCACATCAAAAATTCTATAGAGCAGTATGTGCTGCAACAAACAACCCCAACGCCTGGCCACGGCAGTTTAGATTATTGTATATTATTAGCTTATATTTTGCATACCTATATATACATAACTATAACCACTTCACTGGCTGGTGTTTGCGTGTCCATCATATATTATTAATCCTTTACCCATCATTGGACTACATTTCATAGCACTCTCAGCTAGCCTGCTGATGGGAGTTGCCTTGCACTTTGTGCCCCGGTCAATGCTATATTAAGTAGAATGCCCCATCTCTCCATCTGACATCTGTACAATACACCATACATCCCGATTAGTAACAATTACAGACTTTAAGGCTCCATTTGTGTCGTTGCCCAAAGCATTTTCTGGAGTGACTGCTGCTTTCTTCGACCGGAGGCTTTTTTTTAAATTTTATTTTTTATAAATCTCTAGTTTCTCCCACTTACTGGAAGCATCCGTCCCTAGCAATGGATAACCAGATTCTTAAACATTGAGCCATGATTCCTAGCCATAGATCACCAGATTTCTCCTAGCCAATGATCACCAGTTTCCGAGCCGTGGAAAACAGATCAGTACCTGCTTTGTACAGTATTGCACCTATAGAGAATATCTGTAGCCATGCAAAAATATCCGATTGCCATTGATAAAGCAAATCGTGCACATAGCCAGATCTAAGTGCAGCCAGCGACTAATAACCCACCATTTCACTTCACTTGGGCCCTAAACCTCCTACGTACTAAGACATCTGTGGAATCACTTTCGTCTTAATATTACTGCTTTGTATGCTGTCCAGATCGTGGCTGTACCTTTAATAACACACTACATCTCCGTGGCACAGGGTGGACTATGGCTCATGCAGTTTGGAAGTAGCAGAAAACATTAATCATTCTCAAAGAAACCCTCCAAACACCATAACCACTACAGTGAGCTCCCTTTGGAAGTAGTCAAACTTTCTGCAACTGTTTGACTTTTTATCTGGGTTTCGCAAGGCGCTACTCCCTACCTCCACTACGGCTACAGGAGAACCCTGCTTAGAGCTAGCTCATTGGTTGGGAGTATCTGCTGATCGCTTTCAGCCAGTGAGCTAAGCCCTGCACTGCCAAGCTTAGCTCAGGCAGAACACGTCTGGATCTCCTGTAGTTGTAGTGGAGGCAGGGAGCTGCAGCCTGCAGGTAAGATGCAAATAGGGCATGTAGCTGTAAAACAAAACAATTTCAATAGTGTAATATTGTTATCCCATATGAAAACAATGGTTATTGGAGTGAACTCAAACTGTCAAGATGTAAGAACAGTGAAAGCAATAAGGATGTGGAATTCTCTGCCTGAAGAGGTGGTTTTATCAGAGTCTGTATAGATGTTTAAACAACAACATAATGAATACTTGCAGAAGCATAATATTCAGGGATATCATTTTTAATATGTGCGGTAATAGCTTCTTGATCCCAGCAGAGATCTGACTGCTATTTTAGGGTCGAGAAGGACATTTTTCCTAGTTTGTTGTAAAATTGGAAGTGCTACAAACTCGTTTTCCAGCCGTCTTTTGGAGCAGCAGCGAAAACATGTGAGGTAGGCTGAACTTGATGGACGCAGGTCTTTGTTCAGCCTATGTAACTATGATGTGGAGGCCAGAAGAACCTTGCTTCTAAATTTTGGCTCCTTAGGAAGTCCGGACAAAGCCATTCGTTTTACAGTTTTTTTTGACACAATACTATATATTTTTAACTTACCCAGAGTCTCTGTCAGCTGCAAATGGAATTTATTTGTGGGTTCTTCTGGTCCTCATGATCATCGGGAGAGACACACAGAGCGTCTTTATTACATCTTCAAAGTGGGAGTTCACTCCAACACCAATTATTTTACATGACATAACAATATTATTATATTATTGTATATTTATTGTTTGTATACAAGATATTGTGCTTTTTTGGGGTGCTTCTCCTAGGTAGATGTTTTCTATAGCAGTGTTAGGCTTTATACCATGGGTGGTGGAGGGTCTTTTCGGAAATACGTCCTAAAACAATTCGACTACATACAATAGAGGAACGCCAGGGTTTGCCTGGCACCATAACCACTGCAGCACACTGCAGTGGCTATTGTATTTGGAATATTCTTTTAATAACGAAATCCTGCGTTGGTTGTCTAAATATCTTGAGTGATGTACAATGAGATCATAGCGGGCTAATTCACCAACGTGCGACTTTTTAGCAATTCAAAGTGAGTTTTCCATTTCAGACCAAAGCTAGCAGTGCTAATCGTTCTGATTTCTGTATGTTGCCATTGATGGCTTCAATAAAAGTCACTTAAAGCAAATAGAAAAAAAAAGGCTAAAATAGATGATTTGAACTATAGAAGAATTTTTTCATTCTACTTTCTATTGTTTAATATCTCGTTAATTTAATAAGCCCTATAGCATGTAAAGCCGTCGCCGTGTCAAAATTAACTACTCATTGATCATAGTAGTGGAGTATATCTATAAATGTAAGCGGTTATTTCTTACATAATGCCAATTTACGTAGAAAGTCGTTTTTAAGGTTTTGTCGTTTGGTTTAAATGCAGTGTTCTTTCTGATAGCCTTTCATTTTTATATTTGTCTTCATTCAAAAATAAAAAATAAATTTCAACTGCTCCAATTTAAAAATGAGAGACAATTAATAACAAAAGTAAATTAAACGTGTCAAATGTGCTTTAAATTGAAAAATCTGTGCTAGTCATTTAACTCTTGTATTGCTAAAAAAAATCAAAGTGTACAAAGGCTTGTGTGGCACTTCATGGGTTACAAACGAATTGTGCTTGGCTGGGTTAGGTGGACAAATGTGATCTCTTTTTTTTACAAGTTAACAGAATATTGAGAAATGTGCGCAATGAATTTGTCACTGACTCAGACCAGCTGCAGCTATTGAATGTGTCCAGTTCCATCTGTTAGCAAAGCTCTAGCGAAAATGTCCTTTCTGATTAATAATTTATTGGGGAAAGGAAGCACATTGAGATTGGGTCTCACTTCCATTCCAGGGAGACTCTGAATATGGAGGAAATTGTGTGAGTTTTGTGGTAGAATTAATTTAAAACCAATAAAAGCTAACACATTAAAGGAATTGAAGAATGCTTGGGATGTGTATAAGGCTAACACAGTAAAGGAATTGAAGAATGCTCGGGATGTGTATAAGGCTAACACAGTAAAGGAATTGAAAAATGCTGGGGATGTGTATAAGGCTAATACAGTAAAGGAATTGAAGAATGCTCGGGATGTGTATAAGGCTAACACAGTTAAGGAATTGAAGAATGCTCAGGATGTGTATAAGGCTAACACAGTAAAGGAATTGAAGAATGCTCAGGATGTGTATAAGGCTAACACAGTAAAGGAATTGAAGAATGCTCGGGATGTGTATAAGGCTAACAGTAAAGGAATTGAAGAATGCTCAGGATGTGTATAAGGCTAACACAGTAAAGGAATTGAAGAATGCTCGGGATGTGTATAAGGCTAACACAGTGAAGGAATTGAAGAATGCTCGGGATGTGTATAAGGCTAACACAGTAAAGGAATTGAAGAATGCCTGGGATGTGTATAAGGCTAACACAGTAAAGGAATTAAAGAATGCTTGGGATGTGTATAAGGCTAACACAGTAAAGGAACTGAAGAATGCTTGGGATGTGTATAAGGCTAACACAGTAAAGGAATTAAAGAATGCTTGGGATGTGTATAAGGCTAACACAGTATAGGAATTGAAGAATGCTCAGGATGTGTATAAGGCTAACACAGTAAAGGAATTGAAGAATGCTCGGGATGTGTATAAGGCTAACACACTAAAGGAATTGAAGAATGTTTAGGATGTGTATAAGGCTAACACAGTAAAGGAATTGAAGAATGTTTAGGATGTGTATAAGGCTAACACAGTAAAGGAATTGAACAATGCTCAGGATGTGTATAAGGCTAACACAGTAAAGGAATTGAAGAATGCTCGGGATGTGTATAAGACTGATTTGGTAAAGGAAAAGTTAAATATTAAAATGCCTCCAAACCTATAACCCCTTCCCTCCCAACCATATGTATACATGGGCGAATATTCATTTTGCATTGCATTATGCAGTATAATACAGATGCCTGGTGTAACAGTACTTACTGTTTGCAGGATTTATGGCCACGCAGACTTTGCAACATTTGTGTATCTTTCTACAAAATCGATATCAGTATTTCTGCCTATGTGCAAATATTTAACCATTCCAAAATAATGTATACTTTTAAAATATGTTATCCACTTATATATCCGTAACAGATTTTGTTTATTAAACACCTCGAAGTGTTTAGGTGATAAAAACATAATCAAAATTATTGAAACAAGAAGTCATATTTTGGACATTTGCAGTCCAAATTTCTGAAAAAACTAAGTGCAATAGGAGCAACCTTTGTAGTGTAGTGTTTATTAACGTGATAAGAGCATAAAAACAGGTGATGTGCCCCCAAAAGAAAGGTACGCAGAAGGTCGGTGCCTACACAATGGCACTATCATAAAATTTGAGGCAGTTATAATGTACTGTATTCTCCTGCGTTCACCCTATATTCGAGCAGCATTCTCCACGCTTCCAGCCCACAACATGCACCCCAAACAAGTCTCACAGGGGATCCCTTAAGTCTCTTAAGGGATTCCGATAGATTCACAAGGATGAATTTGGCAGTCAGCCAAAGCCTGCTCGTTTTGCAGGAATACGCCTAAGCTCTGCCAATCTTGACTATCTCAGCCAACCCAATGCTTTCCCACATTAATGCATTTGGAGGATATTGCGCATGCACATCAAAACGCTGTGCTGAGCCAATCAGTCTCTTCTCATAGAGATGCATTGAATCATTCTGAGTCGGGATATCAAAGGGGATGTCGCAGGGGATGTCGCCCTGGGCACTGTTCACACACCCAGGTGACTTCTGTTCCACAGGATCACACCTGGGACATTGCCCTGAAAACCGGGGTCAGTGGACATAATGCCGAAGTTCCATTTATCAGTAGTAGAAAGATGATCCAGGCACTCCAAGTACCTTCTAATGTGTTTATTGGGACAAGTGAGACACCGCAATGTTTCGACCCCTGAGGGTCTTTGTCAAGCTGACAAATGAAGTTCCATTTATGGCCTGCAGCTAGAGGAGCAGAATCCGGGGCACCATATTGTTGGCTGACTTTACCTTTCATCCAGGCATAACCAACTACAAGCCCTACATTTATAAGACTTACCGCTGTTTACTTTCTATACTTCCTATTAATCGCGACTGCAGTGCCTTTTGTAGCTGGGCATGTGCTGTTGGTTTATCTAGTTGACTAGGTACCTCTATTTTTTATTTGTGCTGTGGTGGTTTTCATTTCATTCACCCTATATTTTCATAATATAGCTGTACTTTTCTTGTTTGCACATTAGCCTTCTTCCCCCCCAGCTATAGTGTGTGTGTGTGTATTAGGTACTGTGGTGTGTCTATTAGACAGTGTGTGTGTGTATTAGGTACTGTGGTGTGTCTATTAGACAGTGTGTGTGTGTATTAGGTACTGTGGTGTGTCTATTAGACAGTGTGTGTGTGTGTTAGGTACTGTGGTGTGTCTATTATACAGTGTGTGTGTCTATTAGGTACTGTGTGTCTATTAGACAGTGTGTGTGTGTGTATATTAGGTACTGTGTGTCTATTAGACTGTGTGTGTGTGTTTGTGTGTATTAGGTACTGTGTGTCTATTAGACTGTGTGTGTGAATTAGGTACTGTGTGTCTATTAGACTGTGTGTGTGTGTGTGTATGTAGTATGTAGTGTGTCTATTAGACAGTGTGTGAGTGTATGTATTAAGCAGTGTGTGTCTGTTCGTGTATGTAATCATCAAATATTTCAATGTATGCATTAGGCGGTGTGTGAGTATCAGGGATGTGGAATTTATATATTCTGTCACCCGGCACATGCAATTCCGGACGCCATGCAGGAATATTTTTTTAAATTCTTCTAGGGCTGCCTTGGGAGGAGTTGGTGCCAGGCAGGGAGTGTATCTCTGGCAGGCATTCCAGGACACCTTAACTGTACCTGGCTGCTGCTCATAGTGAGATGTGAGGAGCAGTAGCATCCTACCACTACTCAGCATGACGTCATATCCTGGCGGCGAATATGCTGTAAAGTGCAGAGTTATTGTGAGACAGGCTTGTAATCTGTGATGTGTGAGTGTCAGAGAGTGTTTAGTTTGTGTATGGGTCACTGTGTTTGTATATGTGTCAGTGTGTGTCTGTGTGCAGTGTGCGTCTGTATGGGTCATTGTGTGTGTGTGTGTGTCAGTGTGCTCTGTGTTTGTGCATGGGTCAGCATGTGTGGGTGGCAGTGTGCGTGTGTATGGGTCTCTACTCCCTGTTTCCCCAGTCTGTTTTTTACTATTTATGGGTCTTCTCAAAAAAAAAAAAAAGATTAAGCAGGCATATACTGGAGGGTCCATTCACTAAAAAGTTATTTTATAAGTCTTAGGTCAAAACCACCAAGTTGGATAACTTTTTTTTTTGTAAATATAAATTTTTATTGTTTTATCAACGGTAATTTGCATATTCTCAAGAAATACAGAAAATACAGTGCAGGGCTCGCAGGTCCCTTATATAACTAAGAGGAGATAGTGCAATAGCCATAGAAAATCACAACATTATGTGAGCACGCAGGCCCCAAGCATCCGAGGACTCGCAGGTCCTTTGTTGAATCACATTTCCAGTATAGCAATGGTAGTTTATTGCTGGGGTTTTGGTATTCTCTTCCCGCACTTTCCTTTTTGAGAGTTTGATGTTTATTAAAGCCCGGAATTACAGGTGTGTGTCAGCGCGGGACTCGTAGGTCCCCAGAGGGCCGTGCAAGGGTTAGCGATGGTCTTATACATTTGTGCTCGCAGGCCCCCTATCTCACCTTGTGACACTCTGTCATGTTTGCTAGGCATGTCTCAGATCCCAGGATCCCCACATTTGATTCTCCTAACTACCGCACTGAAAGAGTCCTCCCAGCTGATCTCTCTGGCTGGTCCCTGTTGCCCAGTTAGAGCCGTGGTCTGAGTGTAGGGGTATAGTATAAAGGGGGAAACAGGGTACAGGGGTGGATACTGGGGCGTCGGGTAGTCGTCAGTGTCCTGCGTCTTTGTTGTGATTAAATCTGTGGTCCGTCCATGTCATTCAGTACTGTAACTTGTCAGCAAAGTCTGGTTTCGTCATCGTCATCGTCAGCAGCCATTGTGTCCATGTGTCCATGTGTTTAAATATGATTGGTGTGTGCCCGCTGTGCTGGTGTGAAGGTCAGTGGTGGATCCTGGTTTTGTGCTGCCCTAGGGGTCCAGTGGGCCGGTGACTGCAGGCGGCGAGGGAGCACTGATCCTTCTTTCAGCTCCCTCGCGCGCCGCATAATGATGCCGGGAGCTGGAATATGACATCATATTCCAGCTCCCGGGATCACTCTGCGGCGTGCGAGGGAGCTGAACAGAGAGCTCACTAATCAGTGCTCCCTCGCCAGCGCCGGCCACCCGCCTGGAATGTCAGTTAGCCGCCAGGCTAACAAGACATTTGCCTGGGCATTTGGGGGCGGCTTTTTTTGCCGCCCCCTGGAAAGTGCCACCCTAGGCAAATGCCTTGTTTGCCTCGCGGCTAATACATCCCTGGTAAAGGTCCTCCATTGATCTTCCATTTGGGAGAACCATGACCTCAGTGGGGGAGTTACCGGTTGTTTCCAGTGTTGTGGGGTAAATAATTTGGCTATATGGAAAACTTTAACTAAGGTGAGATGGAGATTATTTCAAACTTTTTTCTTATTTTGTGTGTCGAAAAACACACAAGGTACACTGTGAAGAGGGTAACAGACTCTAGCAAAAAAAAAAAATGAAAAATAAAAGATTAAAGAAGAGTGAAGGAAAAAAACAGAGGAAAAGTTGATGAGAGTGAGTGTATATACACTATTCTATACAATTCTTGCAAAGAGAGAAATACTCCACACTTAAAGTATTACAGATTTCTGAAGTTTGTCATTTTCTTGAATGTTGAACATTTCAATAGAAATCGATCCTTTTATAATTTTTGGCAGAACCACCTTCCTGTCTGTCACACACCGGGACCTTTTCAGTGAGCTAAACTAGAGCTCAATGGGGAACATATTAAAGCCGTGATCGAGTCGGCATGCGCACACTTGCGGATCCAGCTCAGAAACATCTCAATGAGAAGCCTCTGATTGGAGTATTCCATGGCACAGAAAATAAAAGCACATTTTCTTTGGGAGTACATCCACTAAATTGTTAAAATAAATTAGTGGAACACATGTGAGAAATGCTGAACTTGATTGATGCATGTCTCTTTTCAGCTAAATACTTGTGATACAATGGAACTATCTTATGAGCGGGCGGCAAAATGGATCTTTGCCCAGGGCGGCAGAATTCCTTGCACCGGCCCTGGCTATATGTTTTACTTAATTATTAAAACGAGGCCTACGAACTCCATGAGTGACATACTACATACCATTGTGCACTTAATGCTTGTGTTGATGCTGCACTATTTTAGTTGCGTACGGAGATTACTATTATTGATAACCTTTTTTTTGTTTGTGTGTGGTGTTGTCGCCGTTGTGATAAATGGTTTTTATGATTCATGCCCCAATAAAAATTTTGATTGACAAAAAAAAAATGTTAATGTCTAATTCTTGCACATTTTCTATGCACTATTTCACGTTAGCGCTATTATATTCCCAATTTTTTATCTTTTCTTCACACAAGCTATTTAAATGAAAATATGATGAAAGCATCCTTTGTTTCTCGGGGTTAGTGGTAAATCCATTGTATCGTTGCTGTGGTTTGATTAAATAGAGACATACATGCTTACATAGGTATGTAATGGACACTCAAATGGCGACTAAGATCATAAATATTTCAGGTGGTTGTGAGCAAGCGGTGAGTGTTTATGGAACATCGATTGACATCGCAGTATTCCAGGGCCTGCTCCACACACAATGTACATTCTTTAATTGCTCAGAACGCTGGCTATTTTACATTGAAAGCAGCCTTTTATACATATTTCTCTCCCCGGGGTCTGACAAATCCTATAATGTAGCTTTCTTCCCTGAATTTGCTGACACTATGTTCTTCTTTCTAATCTCTTATCCGCATAGAATATGTCAATACCAGAAGAAAGGCTGCTTTAAAGGGAAATTTTCGTTTAAAGGGAACAGTCACTAGAGATTATAACATTGGATGAAACCTTGAAAATCACCTATAAATTGTGTTATCGTTGCCTTTTCATGTAAGGCTCCGACAGGTCACCCATTGAAAAACAGAGAGACATGCCTATTATGTGGCGATGAGCAACTCTTTGTTGTCTGCCGACATTGCAATTCTATGCTTATAAGCGAGAGTTGTCTCAGTTAAAAGGGAAAAAGCTAAAAATAAAGGGGAGTAGAAAGACGTCCCTCCAACCCTCAGTCTAAAATCCACCCAGGGCCATCGAAGCCTTTAGTATATTCAGGGCCTACAGTATGCAGACATCCATCCAAATCTCAGCCTAGAGTCCATCCAGGACCATCGAAGCCTTTAGTACTTTCAGATCCTGAAGTAGGCAGTAGCCCCTCCAACCCTGAGTCTAGAGTCCGTCCAGGGCCATGGAAGCCTTTATTATTTTCAGATCCTGGTGTAGGCAGTCGACCCTCCAACCCTGAGTCTAGAGTCCGTCCAGGGCCATCGAAGCCTTTCATATGTCCAGGTACACTCCTAAACAATTCCCTTATTTTTCATTTATTTTTTTCAGTGCGAATTCGCCATGGAGAAGGACCAATGCAGATTTTGCAGCTAGCCTTTTAATAATGTGTTAGCAGTGATTCTGTCCTTTCCCAATAAGAAGGTTACTCAAAGATCGCTGCTCCTCCTGTAGGGTTAATGTATGTATATAATGTTAAGTGTCTAATGAACTTTTCCAGTATATATAGGTGTATAATGGTGATAGAAGCAATTGTGCTTGAATTACAAATGTAGTGTACATAAACGATATATAAGTCAGTACATAGTTTATGAGGGAAAAGTATATACAATGTATAGATTACAACAGACCATCCCACATATGTTTAAATAAGTATTTCACTATTTTCCCCTTATATTGGGATAATGTCACCTGAAGGGTTAATTGTCAGCATCACTTTTAATGATGAGGTTGAGAATGAAACTTGAGAGCAAGTAACCGCCCACAAGGCGGATCGCAACTTTGGTACCTGAGAGACTGCAGCTGATCGAAGGTGGGATTAATCACCATTATACACCTATATATACTGGAAACTTTCTTTATGGAAGTTTTCTCCCCTGACGAAGGTGTCTCTCTGAGCACCGAAACGCGTGTCGGGATTTCCTTATTTTAATCACTTCACTATACACTGATTTATTTTTCTCTTTATGAGGAGAAGGGGGGTTTATTTGGAGATCGGGGGATGTGTTCCTACTACCAGGGGGACTCTACTTAATCGAGAGATACTTGCAAGGACATTTTATTTAATCAGCAACCATGAAGGTGTTATAGGGAGAGTGTATCATAGTGTATTGGTTTGCCAGCACATTGAGCGATATTAGAGGGTACAATTATATGGATAGAATTAATGCTATACGGCTGGTTATATTGTTGATAATCCTTACTATGACTGACTATCCACAAGTGTCTATATAGACCTTATCAAATGAGCAACACTCTGGCTGAACAAGCGCTTATGCAGCAATCTATGGATCGCTTAGTCGATTGACTCACTACCTACAGGTAATCAGCTAACATGTAGACCGACATGAGCAATGGAGTTGCTCCTAAGTTGAATAGATGCATATGTCTAATATGATGGATAATACAGCTGCCTATTTCACCATTTAGCTCTTATCCCTACTTTAGAAGTGTTGGTTAAGAAGCAATTAGATCAATTTAGAATCTGTGAACGGATTAAAGCCTCGACTTGGTCCTTTTTATTTTTTTTATCTCCTCCTACTGAGATAGACATTATATATCAATAACAACCAATGTTGTTTGAAGCAATAATTAACTCCACCAAGATACGTTTGGATCTATTCTTTGAACGTGTTGAGCTAATAGCTCGCAGGGTACTTATACCACAGTATTATGCTGCATCATTTTATATTGAGAGGTTAAGATTCTCTACCTTTCACTATTTATGATAAATTTGCACAGTAGATATTGTCCTGTACTAACGCTTCATTGACCTGTGTTAAGATATTGGTCTTATAATTATGTGCGTAATACTCCTCCATATTAATCTCATTTTCTCCTATTCTAACCCTTTAACATCTTAGTGAGTCTCTCCCTTATTTTTCTTTTTCATCTAATGTCTGTTGATATAAACGCACCTCTTTAAGGTCTAGCTGGGACTATATTATAAGGGGCTCTCTTCAGTAAACAGACCCACGTTACATAGACATTGGGAACTTGAGAGACTACATGCTTTAATATATCACTAGGATAATAAGCAATAGATTTTTCTATGCTTTACGAATGGCACTAAGTATGGGTAATTCATTTTGGTAAAATCAATAAAGCCAGTTAGTTTACCCATCACAAACATTACAAATTTCTATCGAATATATAGTTATCCTTCTCTTCGACTATGGTTATATGTTAGTTTAATTTTTCAACCAATTATCTTTTTTTTCCCCTTAATAGGGACTCCTCAAGGGAGTTTTTCCCTGATTTTTGCTAACAAATAACGTGTGTTTCTGTAAATAGCAGGAGGCGATGGCCAATCATTTTGTTTGACGTATTGTTATGTAGGACGTGAAGCATACCTCCCAAGTGCCCCTATTTAGGAGGCCTCAAATCACACCTTTTCTAGAAGCTCCATATTGTTGGTGTGTCTGGGTGGATAACAGAGCTCCACAGCAGTAATACTTCCAGTAATGTGTCTGAGTGTATAACAGAGCTCCACAGCAATAATACTCCCAGTAATGTGTCTGAGTGTATAACAGAGCTCCACAGCAATAATACTCCCAGTAATGTGTCTGAGTGTATAACAGAGCTCCACAGCAATAATACTCCCAGTAATGTGTCTGAGTGTAACAGAGCTCCACAGCAATAATACTCCCAGTAATGTGTCTGAGTGTATAACAGAGCTCCACAGCAATAATACTCCCAGTATTGTGTCTGAGTGTGTAACAGAGCTCCACAGCAATAATACTCCCAGTAATGTGTCTGAGTGTATAACAGAGCTCCACAGCAATAATACTCCCAGTAATGTGTCTGAGTGTATAACAGAACTCCACTGCAATAATACTCCCAGTAATGTGTCTGAGTGTATAACAGAGCTCCACAGCAATAATACTCCCAGTAATGTGTCTGAGTGTATAACAGAGCTCCACAGCAATAATACTCCCAGTAATGTGTCTGAGTGTATAACAGAGCTCCACAGCAATAATACTCCTAGTAATGTGTCTGGGTGTATAACAGAGCTCCGCAGCAATAATACTCCCAGTAATGTGTCTGAGTGTATAACAGAGCTCCGCAGCAATAATACTCCCAGTAATGTGTCTGAGCGTATAACAGAGCTCCGCAGCAATAATACTCCCAGTAATGTGTCTGAGCGTATAACAGAGCTCCACAGCAATAATACTCCCAGTAATGTGTCTTTAAACTACAGTAATACATTTAGAAATCAGTCTGTGGAAATAAGATACGTTGTTCTTCTTATAATTTGTAAAATTATATTTTCTAAAAACATTTAATTATATTGTATAAATCATATTTTAGTTTCATTAAAGGATCGAAACAAACACTATAGTTCCATGGTGGCCGTTTAGGTGCCCGGCATTCTTCTGCAGGGAGAAAAAAAAAAGTCTTTGCTTACTCTTCCTCCCCTGCAGTGCCGGTGTCTGCGGCTGGTCCTGCTTCCTTGTCTAAGGTAATAGAAAACGATGATTTCATCCAATCCAATCTATACCTATTGGAAAACGCCACGCTGCGCCAATCAGATGGGCTCTGTGTGACCTCGTGAAAGAAATTAAAGAGTTAGTGGCTTAGTGGCAACAGGCATTTGCAGAGTTAAAATGGGGGGGAAGTGGCGGGGGATAAAGCACCCAGTCAAAATTATTTAAATGAAGTGGTCTGGGTGCCTCTCGTGTCCCTATAATTGTTGTTAGTATGTAATCTAAAATTTCTCAAATCAACCCCTTCCCAGGCTTCACCCCTAAAATTAAAGTGTCCTTTTTTGCCGGTGTGAAATGTTGGGCGGTATGAAGGAGGTGTAACCAGATTACATACCAGGCTGTGCGTAATCTTTATTTTCTTTGCCCCATCACAACCCGGTGCTTTTTGACTCGTGTTTCATGTCTGAATACAGCCTTATAAAAATAAACTGGTTTGCTGGTCTGGCTTGCCAAATTGGATTTTAAATTGAGTTCTTTGTCAGATGTGGCAGATTTGTGTAAGGAAGGGGATTGGACTAAACCTGCTGACGCGCAGTGTTCACCTCCTGCTCCCATCAATGAGTCTCTCGGGATGGCTCCCAAGATATAGATCAGCAGAAATGGCCGGGATTCTGCTCATCCCATGCAGACACATTCATGTTCGGCAGTTAAAAGCCTTCTGTAAATTAAGTGAGATTTTATTGCAGCTGGTTTCAGATATGCTGCTGTAACACTTCCTACTATGTGGTTTCATTTTCCAAAATAAATCTGTGTTTTATTCCCTTCTGGTCCCCTACATCAGAGATCTGACGGTATACTTCTAGGAACCCAATCCGTGGATAGGGACTGACTGGATACACCCCAGATAAATAGCGCTAAGTGAAAAATCACACATTTAAAAACTCACAGTAATGTGCAGTGTGTATGAGTGTATCACAGAGCTCCACAGCCATAAAACTCACAGTAATGTGCAGTGTGTATGAATGTATCACAGAGCTCCACAGCAATAAAACTCGCAATGTGCAGTGTGTATCACATAGTTCCACTGTAATAAAATTCACAGTAATGTGCAGTGTGTATGAGTGTATCACAGAGCTCCACAGCAATAAAACTCACAGTAATGTGCAGTGTGTATGAGTGTATCACAGAGCTCTACAGCAATACAACTCGCAATGTGCGGTGTGTATCACATAGTTCCACTGTAATAAAATTCACAGTAATGTGCAGTGTGTATGAGTGTATCACAGAGCTCCACAGCAATAAAACTCACAGTAATGTGCAGTGTGTATGAGTGTATCACAGAGCTCTACAGCAATACAACTCGCAATGTGCAGTGTGTATCACATAGTTCCACTGTAATAAAATTCACAGTAATGTGCAGTGTGTATGAGTGTATCACAGAGCTCCACAGCAATAAAACTCACAGTAATGTGCAGTGTGTATGAGTATCACAGAGCCTTACAGTAATATAAGGATACTTCTAAAATTCTTGATTTTGTTAGATAAAACAAAAAAAAAAGAAACCGGATGCTGATAAAGCCATTGATTATGTGTATAAATCAGTCCAGCATGTTATCTCGTTACATCCTAACATAGTACAAGAAACACAACAAGTTCATGGTAACCGACCTCTAAGGAGTAAAGTCCCGTGTGACACAGTTTGTTGTCATAGTGTTGAGCTGCCAATGACACACCGGGATATACATTGTTTTTGCTGCTGGAATTAGTTGGTGAATTGCAGTCTAGAGTTAGTAAATAGGTCGTATTGTAGGTGGTTTTTGTAGTCGACCATTAAAAGGACTTACCAGGCCGGAACCGACCCATTCCCTGTAGATAAACCTTTAAATTATAGGTGAAAACACGCATACTTGTCGTTTCTTCATGTGTTGTAAATCCTTTGGATTTGTGTCTCTGATAATGAACTCTGCTCACACCAGGAAGTAATCCAGCCAATCAGGATGCTCTCTTACAGTTGGATGGCGTATTTGCTAAAGGTTAATATAAAGTGGAATTACCATTACTTGACATGATGATGTCATTGCCCCATAATGCTCAGGGCCTTCAAATGTCCACTTGAGTGTATGTAAGGAAATTAAGTAAATTTGCATAGTATGCCCTAGATGTGCCAGGACGAGCAGTCGTACAATGTATATTATGAAATAAAAAATGAACTCTCAGATGTGACCATTCCGCTTTAACTTATCTGTAGCAAAGTTTATCACACATGTCCCAGCACAGCTATGTATCATGATTCCTACGTGTCGGCAGCCTGTGTACCAGCACACCTTCCCTTATGTGTCTGTGCTGTTTTAATGTGTGTTAATCAAGTGACTCAGATTACACAGCTTGTTCTGTGAAACCACAAATTAATTTCCTTCTGGTGATCTCATTATTTTTTCTCCAGATATCCAGGGAGCTATCTGGTTTTAAAGGCATTTCTAACACGTCGGGTTTATCAGCAGTAAAATCGCTTCGTGGTGACAACAGAATACAGGCCTAAAGGATGCTTAGCATAATAATGTGTGAACAAGGAATGCACAATGTGGCTGAGGATACTGAGAGTTGCTGGCAGGTGTCAAGTGCTGAATATTCTGTACTCAAGACTGAGTTATACACTCCGAATGGCTCAGAACCAAAACCATCTGGCTTCATACAGGGCCAATCGGACTTCAAAATCCGAACATTGTTCATGGAATTCTTCAATGTCCTGATTTTGTAATTCAGAACTCAAATGGGCCAGAATTCATCCAAACGAACACTGGCGAACGGCTAAAATCTGGAGCAAATAAAATAAATCCGGCCCTGGAGGCTTCAACTCCGGGTCCAGATTAGAAACAAAAATCTGAACTATTTGATTGCTTGCCAAGCTGTTATTGTTTAATTAGTGACAAATGTTATTATGGCTTTTTATTTGGCCATTTTGGGGGCTGTAGAAAAGAAGAATTAAAAGAAAAAAGACTTTGGATGGGAAGTAATTTTTTTTTTAAAACAGGTGTTAAAGTCTCCCCCATTAATATTTAGAGTAGCCCCCACCCAATGCCCACAGGGATGGGACCTTATCTAGTAAATGGGCAGCAATTGCTAGGTTTAAACATTTAGTAGACATGCCCCCTCCTGACATGCTGTCGTTGGTAAATCTCCGATTCCTATGCTGTAAATTGGGTCAGATGCTGATTTTACTGATTTACCGAACGCTTCCGAACGAATGTTACAGAATTGGTAAGACCAATCGACTCCTGATCGCACTTGGCTTTAGTAAAGACGCTTATTTCTAATGCGGTCGGAATTCAGTAATTTTCACCGGATTTTGTCCAAACCCAGTGTTTAGTGAATACCTCTGAGAGTATTGAGAGTGAGCAGATCTCTGAGATTCTATTCTAAAAGCCTATATTTTAAATCCTGCAATCACTCAGCACTAAGAAATGAATGTATCAGGGAGGCCGCTGAGATTTTGGCAGCTCGGTTTCTCTGATATGTGCATGAGCTGATCTCTGTGTACAAGGATGGAGTGGGTGGTACTTGTTCAGCTGTCTTTCAGTAGAAAGGGAAAGGTAGGTGCCTGTATGTAAAATGAGTCATATTGTATCAAAATACTTCCAATAACCTTACTTATAATCTAAAGTAAACAAAATAGCTATTCCAGAAGGTGGACAATGAATACAGAGTAAGATCTCTATTCTTGCAGAGAACAAAAAGAATATTAAAGGGATACTATAGTGCCAGGAATACAAAGCTGTTTTCCTGGCAGTATAGCTCCCCCTGTCACCCCACTCCCTCGCGCGCCCCCCTCCCAGTGAATAAAGGGCTAAAAACCTTCTATTTACTTACCATATCCCAGCACTGATATCCCTCAGTGCTGGTCGAAACTCTTCCTTCGTCCTGCGACAAGCGGGCTCTAATGTGCATGCACGGCAAATGCCGCGCGCTCATTAGGCCTCCCAATAGGAAAGCATTGAATCAATACTTTCCTACGGGGAAAAATCTGACACTGGAGGTTCTCATGCAGAGAGTGGGGACGTCCAGCGTCAGATACCGGACTAGAGGTCCGTTTCAAACCATGAAGCCCTCTTGTAGCTGTCTGATAGACGGCCACTAGAGGCGGACTTAGTGCTGCAATGTAAACATTGCAGTTTCTCTGGAACATGTTTAACATTTCAGTACTGAGGGCAATAGGGACACTGTACCCAGACCACTTCAATGCGCTGAAGTGGTCTGTGTGCACACAGTGTCCCTTTAAGGGGTGTGCTATGGGTATAAAGGATGTGTAACTGAATGTGTTGTCTTGTGTCTTCCAGATTCCTGCTGGTTTTTTCCTGTTTGGTTCTGTCCGTCTTCTCCACAATCAAAGAGTATGAGAGCAGCTCGGAGGGCGCACTCTACATTCTGGTAAATGAGAAGTGCTTTCTTTCTCTTGGTGACAGTGTCTCGCTGTTAGGCTGTTAAACCTGCTCTCTCATGTATCTTGCAGGAGATCATAACCATTGTGGTCTTTGGGGTGGAATATTTTGTCCGAATCTGGGCTGCCGGCTGCTGCTGTCGTTATCGCGGCTGGAGGGGGCGCTTAAAGTTTGCCCGCAAGCCATTCTGTGTGATTGGTAAGAGAAAGCAATGCACTGGGCACAGTGGGCGATGGAGTTTCCGTGTGCCAGGAATTCCAAAACCGTTTATACTGGAGATACTAAACATTTGTTGACCTATGTTAAAAACTAGCTCATAATAGGCTGTAGGAAAAAGGGACGTTTGAGCTTTTCCTGGACTTGAAAACCAAATGAATTGGCTAATACTTATCCTGTGTCCTTATTTGAAAATAATACATAGTAACACAGTAATCTAGGTTGAAAAAAGTCTCAAGTCCATCAAGTTCAACCGTCCACACATCAGTTTCTCCAGTTTATCCAAAAGAAGACTAAAAACCCAGTTTGAAGCCACGTCCAATTATGACACAAACAGGGAAGAAATCCCTTCCTGATTCCAAAATGGCGACCGGATTTCGCCCTGGATCAATACGCTGTTATCACCTACATTAAAGGGACAGGCATCTCTTTCAGACAATTGTCTTCTTCAAAGGCTTTAGCTTTGAATGAGACAGTCCCCTCACTCTGCAGGCTGAAAAATGCTGGTAAATATGATTTTTTTTCATATTTATCTGGTTGTTCTGACTTATGCTTCCCACACCCACTCTGGGGGGGGCTTCTGATCTAATGTATAACAGATACAGCAAACATGCTGCATTGTGGATGACAACTAAATAGCGCTTTGCTCTGCGGTACAATGTTTGCATCCACTTGCCAAGGGGACTTATCCAAGGGGGGTGGGGGGGGTCCAACCTCATATTTCTCGTATATAAACGAAAAAATTAAGACATTGTGTCCCCTTATCAAAAATATACTGTTGCCAATCTATTAAAAAATTATATATTTTGTTTATTCAAACATTAAAACAATTCATCCCATATCCTGAAAGTTGTCTTTTCTCAGAGCCCCTATCAGCCGAGCACTCTTGTAGGATATGGTATACAAATTGTACTTGTTGCATTTATGTGACAAACTCTCCCCAACTACCGTGGACAAATCTACTTGATCCCACAACATAATAAAAAAAAAAAAAAAATAATTCATCCCATAAAGCAAACAGTAATGGCTTAAAGGACCACTCAATGCAGTGGTCTGGGTGCCAGGTCCCTCTAGTTTTAACCCTGCAGCTGAAAACATAGCAGTTTCAGAGAACCTGCTATGTTTCACTGAGGGTTAATCCAGCCTCTAGTGACTGTTACACTGACAGCCGCTAGAGGCGCTTCCCCGATTCTCACAGTGAGAAGACGCTGGACGTCCATAGGAAAGCATTGAGTAATGCTTTCATATGGGCTGTTTAAATGCGCGTGCGGCTCTTGCCGCGCATGCGCATTCGGATCTGACGTTGTCAGGTGGAGGAGAGTTCCCCAGCACAGAGGGAGCCTGGCGCTGGAGAAAGGTAAGTGGCTGAAGGGGTTTTAAGGTAAGTGGCCCTGAGGGTGGGGGGGACCTAATGACTCTATAGTGCCACGAAAATGAGTTAGTTTTCCTGGCACTATAGTGCTCGTTTAAAGACTCACATAGATGGTGTAGAAGCACATGGCTAAAAGTGTTTTGTAAATAACATAACGAAATAATGCAGGAAGTGATTAATTCTCACTACACACAGTATCATAAAAGACTGCAACATTATACTTGAACTCAAACAAAATAGTACAAAATGAAATGAAAAAATCCCCACACCTTTAGGTTAATGAAGCAGTTTTTGTGTATAAATCATGCCCCTGCAGTCTCATTGCTCAGTTCTCTGCCATATAGGCGTTAAATCACTTTGTTTATGCAGGCCAGGCCACACCTTCATGCATGTGACTTGCACAGCCTTCCTAAACACTTCCTGTAAAAAAACATCTAATGTTTACACTTCCTTTAGTGCACAGTCTGTTTAATCAGGAATTTCTTATCTCCTGCTTTGTTAATATCCTTCTAGAGCAGGGATAGGCAAACCTCGTCACTCCAGATGTTGTGGACTACTTTTCCCATGATGCTCTTACAGCCTTAATGTTGGCAAAGCATCATGGGAGATGTAGTCAAGAACATCTGGAGTGCCTAATTATGCCCACCCCTGTCCAGTGTGTAATTAAAGTTCAATTTACAGAGTAGGAGATACAAACTTCTAAAGTAAGTTAACCTGAACATTTTTTTTCATGCAGGCTGCATAAACAGAAACAAAAGTGATTTAACTCCTAAATGGCCGATAATTGAGCAGTGAGACTGCGGGTGCATGATCTATACACCAAAACTGCCTCATTAAGCTAAAGTTGTTTTGGTGCCTATAGTGTTCATTTAAATCTGCAATGTAATCATTGCAGGGTTAAAGGGGCAGAATATGAAGAGGTCTGGATGTGTATAGTGTCCCTTTAATTGTGCTTTTAATACTCTCGCTTTATTGCTGATAAAAGCAATTTTCACTCTGTCTTTACCTGCATGTTGTGTTATTAATTAATGCATTTATAAAAAAAATAAAACATTCGCATTCCATTTTATATATTTTTTTGTTTAAGTTCAAGTATAATGTTGTAGTTTTTTTTTTTACAATGCATTAGATTATATGTGTTTATCATGTTTCCTCCGTAAATGAATTGATACTCTGTGTATAGTGGGAATGAATCATTATTGATCCATATGCAGCTATAAAATCCTGCCACAATGGAACTTGAGTGATCTTCGAAAAAATACGTTATATACGAAATGCATTGATCTGTGCGCTTCAACACCATCTATGTGAGCCTATAAGCCATTACCGTTTGCCTTATGTGATGAATTGTTTTTAATCTTTTTGGAATAAAGGAAATATATTATTTTAATTGGCATTTGGGGTGAAACTGAGAGGCGTGCCCAACAATGCAATCTGACAAAGTTTATAGTAAGTTTATAAAATGTTCTTTACATGTTTTTCTTGCTTTATTTTGCTTTGTATATTTGTTTAGAAGTGTTTGCTTGGTGATTTAAAAAAACCCTGTAAAAGTCTGATTTTCCTAAATATCATAATTTTCAAAGTATCTTTAGAATCTGATACACAACCTATTTAGGCAAACAAATACACAGGCTTTTTGTTTTTATCGTTTCCACTGCTGTAAGTAAACTTTCCTTACTTCAAGTCTCAAAGAATGGCCTCTTGTCCTATGTACATTCCTGTTAAAGGACCACTCTAGGCACCCAGACCACTTCAGCTTAATGAAGTGGTCTGGGTGCCAGGTCCAGCTAGGGTTAACCCATTTTTTCATAAACATAGCAGTTTCAGAGAAACTGCTATGTTTATGAATAGGTTAAGCCTTCCCCTATTTCCTCTAGTGGCTGTCTCATTGACAGCCACTAGAGGCGCTTGCGTGCTTCTCACTGTGATTTTCACAGTGAGAGCACGCCAGCGTCCATAGGAAAGCATTATGAATGCTTTCCTATGTGACCGGCTAAATGTGCGCGCATTCAGCCAATGGGGAGGAGAAGAGGAGGATCGGAGGAGGAGAGCTCTCCGCCCAGCGCTGGAAAAAGGTAAGTTTTAACCCCTTTCCCCCTTCCAGAGCCGGGCCGGAGGGGGTCCCTGAGGGTGGGGGCACCCTCAGGGCACTATAGTGCCAGGAAAACGAGTATGTTTTCCTGGCACTATAGTGGTCCTTTAATAAACAGATTACCAGACAGCTGTTTGTATTGATCCTGTATATATTTGTATAGGGTTATAATATCCCCTCTTGGACACCTTTTTTCTAAAATACACAATTTCACATTTTCTAGCCTTTCTGCATAACTAAAATTTTCAATTCCCCTTAATAATTGTGTAGGCTACATTGGACATTTTCTAATTTCCTTTTTTTTCTTTTTTCTTTAAACGATGCCTAAATTTGCATCGCATATTTAAGATGGTGTCTTACCATGGATTTAGAAATAGACAAAATAATAGTGTAATTACATGAATTTGTACCCCTTTTTATGCAAGAATGTACATTACTGCCCTTTGGAACTGCTGACCGACATTGCACATTGTTGCCCAGTTTCTTGCTTATAATTATTCCCAAGTCATTCTCTTTAACAGTGATCCCCAACTCAACCCCCTTTTAGGGAATAAGCTGCTTGTGGGTTCCTCACCCCAAAATGCATAACTTTGTTCTGAGAAATCCTCTTTTTCCTGGTAATGTGCCACTGGGTGCGAAATGCATTGGGCCTCTTACACCCCGCCCCACCCTTCTCGCTCAGCTAGCATTTAGGAATAAAATAACATTTTCCATTATTGAAGGTATTTATTCTCCAGCATGAATTGTACCTACTCCTACCCCTTGACCTTTACCCAGAGGTCATCTACTAAGGCTTCTGACCATATTTAATTCATGTGCTTTTGTTTGATCTCCTGACATTATTTCTACGATGATGTATTACAGCTTTAGGGGTCTTGTTTTTTTCCTTCCATGATAATCACCTGGTTCATTTCTGGTCCTCAAGGGCTGTTTGAGAAGCTTTGATCTCTGGTTCTGATAGGAATTACCTTCATAAAAGCTTGAAGTCAGAACAGGATGAGCTTAGTTTAGACCCAGAGTTATTGAAGATGTGGGTCAGCATTGCCTTACGCATGGTTGGACATTTTGTCCAAGATGTTCTTGTTCCTGAATTTTTTTTCCAATTCCTGCTGTGCGGTTAGTCTGATGTTACGTTGAAGGTCAAGACAAGAGGCAATGGGGACCTAAAAACAAAGTGACCGGTTTCTCTTTCCATGCAGACATCATGGTTCTTGTGGCCTCCATCGCAGTCCTGGCTGCAGGTTCCCAGGGGAATGTCTTTGCTACATCTGCCCTTAGAAGTCTGAGATTCTTGCAGATTCTGCGCATGATTCGTATGGACCGGAGAGGAGGGACATGGAAACTTCTGGGCTCAGTGGTGTATGCACACAGCAAGGTAAATATATTGTTCAAATGCGTATGTGTCTTGGTGACGCCATTAACATGTCTACAATACAAGGTCACAAGTCGTCACACGCACACAGCAAGATAAATTCACCAACATGCACTCAGAAGAATAGGCTAAGGACTCAAAGTCCTTATTACATATTACTAAATGATTATTACATTTTACTAAACACAAGAAAACATACAATATCAAACATATTGTAACCACTATACTCAACCACTAGAGGCTCTATTTCTGTACAGTCCAAGGAGGGAGTCAATCTGAAAGTCACTGTTTAGGAGAGCTCTAGCCGGGTTTTTAGATTTTAGTAGAGAGCACCATGGCTACGCAGCACTAGTGATGGACTTATCACTAATATTATTGAAGTGTTCTCTCCCTATATAGCTTTTTAAAAAACATTATCGTTGGGAGAAGCTACCCCTCGTGGGTAAAGACCTGCCAAGGTCCTTACTCCTGCTCATACAGAAGCAGAGTTGTGATTAAATTAATGAGCAGGATTTTTTGAGGATTCCTTCTTGGTTTCTTCCCCTCTAACTCCTTTGTTAATCTAGAATTAGACAACTTTCCAGCATTTAACCTGATGCTGGTTTGCTGGAGGTTGAATCGGAATTGGAGCATTTGAAATATAAATTTGACGTTCCATGTTACTTTAACTGATTGGCATCTCACTACTTAGTAGATCAGCCTCTTTTTAGGATTAGCTGCAAGTTGGCATACGTTGATTGACCTGGGGGGAAGTTTTACCTCCCCCTTAAATAAGTCAGAGGCGGTGGAGTTATTCTTGACGAAGGTGCATTATGCACCGAAACGTGCGTTGGGCGTTTGATTGTAATTTTAGTGTAATATATAGTCCCTTGTGTATGTATGACCCTTCAGCTCCAGTATCGCCTGCATGTCATTGTAGGCAGGTAACAATCACTCTTAAAGGCACTTAAATGCTACTCCTGATTGTTTTTGAGATCCCTGAATCTCTGAATCTTATCATTGATCAAAGCGCCCACGGAATTCCACAGATCGTTCTCCTGAGACACTGATACCCCACTGTGTGTGTGACTTACACTTCTCCTAAACAGCCATTTTCACCATTTTATTTTTCATTTTTTTTATTTGTTAAATTCACAAACGTGTGTAAATAGACAGAATGGGACAGATGTGCAGACAGGAACATTTAGCACCATCAGTTCTTACATGAGTCCTTAAAATGTGTTCTATTCCTGGAACACACATAATAATAATATTTTGTAACTGTCATTTCACCAGTAATAATGACACCAAAAAATGATCATATCCTATTACTCAGCACCACAAACAAATGTGCAGATATTACTAATAATACAAATATACATTTTAAATTGTGCATGGGATTTTTTATGCTATGAACCAGAATATTGACATCACACACATTTTTCTTTTCTGATTGTTGGCAACCCTTGTGATTGTTGTTTGCTCCCGTTTGAAGGAGCTGATAACTGCCTGGTACATTGGATTCTTGTGCCTTATCCTGGCTTCCTTCCTGGTATACCTGGCAGAGAAGGAGGAAAATAACATGTTTGATACCTATGCAGATGCCTTGTGGTGGGGACTGGTGAGTTCCGATGCCATTACTGGAATAATGCAGATTAATACAGCTCTAAACCTGGCAATTTCGTTTTTATCGTTTCTCTCTTTAGATTTTTAGCCTTCACTTGCTCCTTTAGTAATGCAAACCTTTCAAAACTCTAGTACCACAACCCTGGGCTCCTCAAACATTTCCTCACTTGAGCATTCCATACTCTGTGTCTCCAATCTTTAGAGCCCCAAACTACTCCAGTCACTATTATCGGCATTCTCTAGATCACAAATCTCATGGTTTTCCTCCTCATATAAATACAATGTTGATATAATCACAATAGGCAAGGGTTTAATGACTCCAGTAAAGCATTGGAGTAAGATCAGGTCTGCTCACAATGGCTAGGAGGTCCAACGTGAAGGTCGGTCTCGTACTGTTAGTAACTTGACAAAATCCTGATGCATTCCTTTATCATACTGCCTTAACTGCCCCGGGTCAATCCTTCTAACCAATTATATATTGCATTCGTGAATCTGGGCCCTTCCTTAGATTTTGTGCAGAATAATAAATATTTGATATTCCTAGTTTAATAACTCATGTCAGTTTAATTTCAGTCATGTTTTTGAAGCTGTTTTTGGTAATGGTAAGGTAATTATGTGCATTATTTTCTTTATCTGGTCTCCAGATTACACTCACCACAATCGGTTATGGAGATAAATATCCCAAGACGTGGAACGGCCGACTTCTCGCTGCTACCTTCACTCTGATTGGTGTCTCATTTTTTGCTCTTCCCGCTGTAAGTTTAGCGATTATGAAAGCTATTCCAGGGTCAGTGTGGACCATACACAGATATTAATACATTTATTGCAAGGTTTATAATTCAGTGTTTGTTTGTTTTTGCACCATTTGTTTTTCGTTTTATATATGTTTTTGGATGTGTATTTATATAAAGGACTCTGCTTTGGTGGCAGCACTTATTTATTTGTTGGTTTTATTTGCTAATCTTTTGCTGCACTTTATTAGGTCAAAACTCACTGTATATTGAACATGTGGGCAAGATATTTGCAGGATCAGATTATTTCTCAAAGTTTGCATTTTACTTTAACTAACTTTAACTTGTGCCCCCTTGCTCATTTTTAACAGGTTTTTGTCCTCTTGCTGAGTTTTGACCGGTCCTTGTCCTCTTGCTCCTTTATGACCGGTCTTTGTCCTCTTGCTCAGTTTTGACTGGTCCTTGTCCTCTTGCTCAGTTTTGACTGGTCCTTGTCCTCTTGCTCAGTTTTGATTGGTCCTTGTCCTCTTGCTGAGTTTTGACCGGTCCTTGTCCTCTTGCTCATTTTTGACTGGTCCTTGTACTCCTGCTCAGTTTTGATTGGTCCTTGTCCTGTTGCTCATTTTGACCGGTCCTTGTCCTCTTGCTCAGTTTTGACTGGTCCTTGTCCCGTTGCTCAGTTTTTGCCGGTCCTTGTTGCTTGTTTTTTGCAGGATCTTGTCCTCTTGCTCATTTTCTTTGACAGTCTTATCCCCTTGCTCAGCTTTTGACGGTTCTTATCTCCTTGCTCATTTTGTGCAGGTCCTTATCTCTTTGCCTGTTTTTTTGCCAGTCTTTGTCCTCTTGCTCCTTTTTACAGGTCCTTAACTCTTTGCTCATTTTTTGCAGATTCTTGTCCCTTTGCTTGGTTTTTGCAGGACGGTATCCCCTTGCTAGTTTTTTGCAGGACCTTGTCCTCTTACTCAGTTTTTGCAAGTCCATATCCCATCGCTCAGTTTTTGCAGGTCCATATCCCATCGCTCAGTTTTTGCAGGTCCATATCCTATAGCTCAGTTTTTGCAGGTCCATATCCCATCACTCAGTTTTTTAGGTCTTTATCTCTTTGCTAGTTTTTGCAGGTTCTTGTCCACATGCTCAGTTTTTCCACATCTGTATCCCTTTGCTTGTTTTTTGCCAATCATTGTCCCCCTTAGTTTTTGAAGGTCTTGTTTTTTTTACCGGTCCTTGCACACTAGTGCTTTTGATCAGGTCTCCCCTTCACAGTTCTTTAAGTTCATAAATCTTTCTTTCAGGCATAGTACCAATGTTTTACATAGTGTACTCTTACAGGGAATTCTTGGATCGGGGTTTGCACTTAAAGTTCAAGAGCAGCATCGACAGAAACATTTTGAAAAGAGGCGCAATCCAGCGGCAGGATTAATTCAGGTAAGATATCACTAAACATTGAGCCTATTGGTTCTATCCTGCTTAGCCTGTGTTAGACATTGTGTAGGAGACGCTATGTTTATACCAAGACTCTGCCCACCACTGTCACACAGCAGGCACTCCTTGCAAATGGTTAGAAAATAGTGTTTTTAAACAAATGGTGACAAGGATTTGGGAAAGTTGATAACAGATCAATTAGAATGAGCCACACGCTTGATAAACTTTGTCTAAAACCAAATATAAATTGACGCAGTGAGACCATTGTATAATTCAAGAGTTTTTCTGCCTATTTTCCTTTTCAGTCTGCCTGGAGATTCTACGCCACCAATCTGTCCCGGTTAGATCTCCACTCTACCTGGCAGTATTACGAGCGGACAGTCACGGTGCCCATGTACAGGTATCACATCACATGTATGACATCATCATTCCATCTCTGACATGGTTTCCCAAGTGCAGTGTGCAGGCAATGCCCCTTTGTGTCATCGTTTAACTATTTTAAGTTGCTTTATTTTAACTATTTAAGTTGTTTTATTTTAATTCCATATTTTTCATTTTGCGTTATTCTAAATTCCTGTTAATTTTGCATTAATTTTGTTCTTTTTTTTGTGTGTGTGTGTTTTCCTTGTTTTCTTTTTTTATTATTTTTTTCACACTCATCCTACTCATCTCTCCCCATTACACCTAGCCTTATATTGTGTCATATCTACACCTGAAGACGGCTTGCACCCAATGGATATATGGTAACTACTTTTTAAATAATGGTGTGATGTGGAGTGTGGTGTGATTTTGCTGAAATCAGGTGATGTTTTTTAATTTGATCTTCATTGAGAATTATACCCACAGCAATATTTGATCCTACTTAACTGCCAGGAATTGTTATGACTGCACTGAGCACTTACAAGGAAGTTAGTTGTCCCTGTGATAGATCACTGGCCTGCTTAGATGTCATCATCATATGGCACTGAAAAAGTTAGATTTCACTGTGATTGGGCACAAAAATGTAATGAAGCACTGAGATGATTAGTTGTCACTGTCATGGAGCACTGAGAAGGTTAGATGTCACTGTTACAGAGCACTGAGAAGGATAGATGTCACTGTTACAGAACACTGAGAAGGTTTGATGTCACTATCATAGAGCACTGCGAAGGTTAGGTGTCACTGTCATAGAGCACTGCGAAGGTTAGGTGTCACTGTCATGGAGCACTGTGAAGGTTAGATGTCACTGTTATGGAGCACTGAGAAGGCTAGATGTCACAGTTATGGAGCACTGAGGAGGCTAGATGTCACAGTTATGGAGCACTGAGAAGGTTAGATGTCACTGTTATGGAGCACTGAGAAGGCTAGATGTCACTGTCATAGAGCACTGAGAAGGCTAGATGCCACTGTCATGGAGCACTGAGAAGGTTAGATGTCACTGTTACAGAGCACTGAGAAGGCTAGATGTCACTGTTACAGAGCACTGAGAAGGTTAGATGTCACTATCATAGAGCACTGCGAAGGTTAGTTGTCACTGTCATAGAGCACTGTGAAGGTTAGATGTCACTGTTACGGAGCACTGAGAAGGTTAAATGTCACAGTTATGGAGCACTGAGAAGGTTAGATGTCACTGTTACAGAGCACTGAGAAGGCTAGATGTCACTGTTACAGAGCACTGAGAAGGTTAGATGTCACTATCATAGAGCACTGCGAAGGTTAGTTGTCACTGTCATAGAGCACTGTGAAGGTTAGATGTCACTGTTACGGAGCACTGAGAAGGTTAAATGTCACAGTTATGGAGCACTGAGAAGGTTAGATGTCACTGTTACAGAGCACTGAGAAGGCTAGATGTCACTGTTACAGAACACTGAGAAGGTTTGATGTCACTATCATAGAGCACTGCGAAGGTTAGGTGTCACTGTCATAGAGCACTGCAAAGGTTAGTTGTCACTGTTATGGAGCACTGAGAAGGCTAGATGTCACAGTTATGGAGCACTGAGAAGTCTAGATGTCACTGTTATGGAGCACTGAGGAGGCTAGATGTCACAGTTATGGAGCACTGAGAAGGTTAGATGTCACTGTCATAGAGCACTGAGAAGGTTAGATGTCACTGTTATGGAGCACTGAAGGCTAGATGTCACTGTCATAGAGCACTGAGAAGGCTAGATGCCACTGTCATGGAGCACTGAGAAGGTTAGATGTCACTGTTACAGAGCACTGAGAAGGTTAGTCGTCACTGTCATGGAGCACTGGGAAGGTTAGATAGTACTATCATGGAATACTGAAAAGGTTAGACGTCACTGTCATGGAGCACTGAGAAGGCTAAATTTCACTGTTATAGAACACTGAGAAGGTTAGATTTCACTATGGAGCATTGAGAAGGTTAGATGTCACAGTTATGGAGCACTGAGAAGGTGAGATATCACTGTCATGGAGCACTGAGAAGGTTAGACGTCACTGTTATGGAGCACTGCGAAGGTTAGATGTCACTGTCATGGAGCACTGAGAAGGCTAGATGTCACTGTGTGTTGTGAACCATTTCAGAGTTTAACCGCTGGAAAAACAGGCTAGAGACATTGAAGAAACTGGTCAGAATGACATTAGTTAGACTTGCAAGATGAGAAATTCATGCCTTGTTTGCCTCTCGTTGCTTAGCGACCATTATTCACCATCAGTGCTGATAGAGCAGATGTGGTTTAGACTTTTGTTCTACTGTTGAACATTAGTAGGTACACAGAAACGTCAGTCAGTAAAAGATATGCCGTAACTCGACAATCTTTCTGCATCGTCTACCAATGTGGAGAGATAACTCCGAAGTTATACAGTGTCTAAAAATATAGAGAGATTGCTACTAAGTGATAACTGTTGGTGTGTTCACATAGTTGCTGGTGTGTAGATCTGAACTGATCCAGGTGAGTGTGCAGAGAATGCATCCTGTGCTGACAAGGTGTATTAACTGCTGGGTTCCTGGCAGCAAAAATTATTGCTTAGACCTTGAACTGTCTTAGTTCAGTGAAATATTGCCTAAATTAATGTACAATGATTGGTACATCCAGCTCAGTAGCCAAATTCTCATACTTTAGTACATTTCAGGCAGTCATGTTCAGTGTCTAGAAGGTGCTTTTTGGGTTTTGAGATTCTTGTAGGACCCTTCTTCTTGGGTGGTTTAAGACCCAGAGAGCTGCTTTGCATGAACGCTGACAGCCTAGCTGCCATATTCCCAGTCATATAGTAAAATGCCCACAGTCTAGAAGCATGTCTTACTATGTTTCTGGGCATTAATTGACTCTGCTTGACCTGCAGGCAGACCCAGGGCTCCACTTAGTGGGTAACTATCTTGTATATTGACAAATATTTTTTTACTAATGGTTTCAGTAGAATTGGTGCTTCTCATAAAAGTGAAACAATCACCGTGGAAAGAAATGGAATGTCTTGTTGATTGCTCTAGATCGATGAAGAGTTGACCCGTTGGAGTGATTTTCCTTCTTATTCTAATAGCCACATATGTACTGCAGTGTGCAAAATCTCTCCAGCAAAGCACTCTAAGCACCATAACTACTGTAGCTCATTGTTACTTTTATAGTGGGATGATTAAACAAACAGGGCTCTCTCAGTACCTAAAGCAGACACATCTTCATTACCAATCCAAGCTTAGACTTCTGTGATGGGGCAGTTTAGCTCAGCACCCCAGGGTTGACAGGCTTTGGACAGTAAACGCAGAAGTGAAACAGTCAAGCCACAGAAGAGGGTCCTGACTTTTGATGCTGGAGAGTCAAACAGTTTGATAAAATCCAGTGGGACCAATAATCTATTAGCACTATAACCACTACACTGAGTTCTTAGCATGTCCCTTTGACATTTATATATTTGTCAGGGCTAGCATTCTGTAGCTGACATTAGATGACAACTCTCTTCTAGATGAAGAAGAATCTTACGTTTAACCAAACAATTCTGTCACTGTCTTTCATCTAGATGTCAAGTGAACATAGGATTTATGGTTTGCAAGGTCTGAACATAACCCTCATCTACTATGCCCCCTGTAGGTTACCCAGTGCTGACATATCTGCTTTTGAGTATCTACCCCTCATATAGTTGCTATAGATTGCCCACCCCATATCTATCCGCTATAGATTGCCCACCCCATAAATACCCTCTATAAATTGCCCATCCCTTATATCTCCGATATGGATTTCTGGTTCGTTATGTAACTGCTATAGATTACATACATCATCCCATATTTAATATAGATTGCCTATTCCATATCTACCTGCTATAGATTGTCCATTTCTTATATACCCACTATAGGTTTTCTGTCCTTGCAGGAACTTCAAGATTATTAATTAGCAAACCAAACATCTTTCTGGATAGTTTGTCTCATGAATGAAACACACATTAGTAAATGTCCTTCAGAAGATACCATCTTGCCATCCTCATACTTCTAGGCTGTCTCCAATTGTTTGTCTTCCTGTTGCCCACACTGAATCCTAATGTGAGGGTACCCCTTTCTATAAGTAAATGTTTCTAGGGTGGTCAGAACATTCAGTCCATTGCCTGACCACTGAAAGCAAAGCCTCCTCAAAAAAGGTTTGATGTTTTCTGTTTTTTTCCCTCTTTTCCCCATTCCTGTTGTTTCGGAGAACAGCTCCCAAGCTTACGGAGCCTCCAGGTAGGCGGTGATTGTCTGTAGCAGTGACTGTCCCCATCCTACCTGGCGTCGTGCTTGTGTTGTATTGTAACAACTGTGGTATGTGTACGCACAAGTATTGCAAACATTTTGTGATGAATCTATCTAAATATTTGTTAATGTAGACTTTCCAAACCATCATCCACCATTCGACATGGCTCACCAGATCAACTTATGTCTTTCCTTGTTCAGATCCGAAAGAAAACTGCTTCTTATAGCATTGCCAGACTAAACAAGTCTCTTTTATATCCTTTATTTTCGGGGGTTCTAAGACAAACTCAGAGATGCCTAATGTTTACATAAATAAGGCATTTGGCATCGGAGGATTAGGAGATTATATAAATTTAAAAAACACCCAAACCCTATTTTCTGGCCCAAAAGCAAGATTTTTTCTTTTGTAATTGCTAGTAAATAAATGGCTGTTTAGTTGGGCTTGAAGACCATTTATTAGTTGCTTCCTATACAAACCGTCCTTTATTTATGATTTCCTTTGCCTGTTATGCGTATTATTGGAGTATGGGGATTTGGTACCCTTTTAATTGTAGAAATATGGTAAGAAGTAAATTGTTGTTTCTTCATAACCTGGTGAGCAACGAGACACAGTCTTGTTCAAAGGAATTAAATACAAAGATGGCCGCTCATTCATTTTTTATTCAGAACTTTTCTTCAGGGTTAATTGTCGGTAATTCAAAGAAAATGTAAAATTTTATGCAAAACTAGCTCAACTGAAAACCAAGCTGAATTGGCGGTTTGAACAGAATTTTGGGCAATTCACATAACCTTGTGAATTGAGTGTGAAACTAAGCTTACTTTGAGATTGGACGAGATGGGAGCTAGGGTTAATATAACGCCACTGACAATGAAATTACCACCAAGAAAAAACGTTTGTTTAAATACCGTCACAGTTAACACATTCTCATATCCAGGAGTGTGAATGTAAGGGCTGACATAAAAAACCCCACATTTTATAACTGATCCTGTGTTTCTTTTCTCACAGATCAATTAACAGTAGTTAAATATTCCGTCCATAAAAAGTGAGCTGTTAAAATGAACATAACATATAATGACACTTTTATCTGAAAAAACTTTAAATGTCAACTCTTTTATTTAAAGGAAAATCCTCCGCTTGACCTTTCAACCCTAAAATAACGCCAAAAATGACCGAACATATTAAAACTAACTCGTTGCTAGTTTTATCCATACCCAATTTAAAACAAATTGCAAAACAGACAGCCAGACGTGGTAGGGTGCCATTGTTTTGTTTGCACTTTTGGAATGATACAGATCACTAGAAATAAGTGTGCGCAGCGTTTACAAACCCTTTACTGTTCGGCAATGCTTCTGCACGTTGAAATGCAGCTTTGGTTGTGGTGTTTTGTAATCAGTGTTGAGATGTGTTACTGTGAATTATGTTGTATCTTGTTTGTTGTGTTACAATGTGTCTTGTCGGCTTGTGGTTCACTTTGTGGTTGTGGTTCTGTATTTGAGAATCTGCTTCTTGGTCAACCCTGATCAAAACCATCATAGTAAAAAACATTTTAGTTCTCGCTGTAACATCCCACCTGGTTCACTCTCAGACTTTCCGTGTGATATTATCTCTCCGTATATAACATCCCTGATTGCCAAATTCCTACAGCCTTGGTGCTAATTTAGTTTTTTTTGCTATTTACAGACTGATCCCTCCTCTCAACCAGCTGGATCTTCTGAGGAATCTAAAGAGCAAATCGGGACTCACTTTCAGGTCAGATGTGCCGATGAGGGCAGTGATTATTGCGATTGACTTGCAGAATGCCAAGATTTTGTCAGATAATTCCTATGCTCATATTTTTCACTGTAAACAATCTTTTTCGAGACTATTGATAAGAACCAGTTTTTATTTGATTTTGTTATTACGCTGTGTTTTAAATTATGAACTTGATCCCTCGTAATAGTGAAGGGAAAGCCAGGCATTATGAAATATTTTTGGGATAATCTTGTATTTTCCATTTTGTTCACTTCTTACCCTCTCCTGATTTTTAGTGTAAGGGACATTTTCATGGACAAACATATATACCATTTTAAAAAAACATGACTGTAATTCCTTACTGTGCTCCTCAAGGGTGGAATAAATTTAGCCACACCCATGAGTAGAGAGGGAGGAACAACACTGGATAATATGATAACCTGTAAAATATATGTAAGATCTTCAGACGGGGCACTTCTTTAAAAACTAGAATGACAGAGCTTTAAAAAGATCAGAAAATCTGTGATAACTAAATTTTTATTATTTCCTTAAATATTACAAAAATATATCTCCCAGGAATTTGAATTAAACAAATAGTTTATTATAGAATTAGTTTGCATAAATCATACATTTTTAAAAAAAAGTTTTTGTTTTTTTTTTATTTCCCAGCCGGAGCGTCCCCACAAAAAAATTGTGGGACATGTAGGCCTTATCTGGATTTTTAAGTTTTAATTGCAACATAATTGGAGGGGAGAAACTTCCTCTAGAGGTACACAGTGTGGCTTGGCTTTATCTATAGGCTTTTAAAATGATCTCAACCTAAAAAAGTTCCAAATGATTTACCTACACAAGCCACCATTACTAGCTATAGGGAGATTTGTAGATAAATCATTTGGGACGTTTTTCTAGCAGTATTGAATCGTTTGGAAGGCTCACTAAATCAAAGCCATAGCTTATTCGTTAAATCAGGAAATTACAAAAAGAAAGATTAGCAAATTTTGGGCCACTAGAGCCACAAAAAAAAACCCAATAAAAAATCTCCAGCTCCATAATTTTCCTTTTTTGGCCTAAAGTTTGTAATTTGCATTGTGAGTTAAATCCCCAGTGGGAGACATAGAAGGTTGATGTAGATCGGTACAGCAACGCCCAAAGTCCACCACACTCCAAACCCAGGCTGTTCCTAGAACCCTCGTCCCACAGATCCTTCCACTCCTGGTACCAGGGTCTCGAGAGAGAATGTTTTGCTTCTCTAGGTTGTGGACGGCAGATAGGGGTAGCAACGTTCTGGGTTCCCAGTCCAGAAGAGCAGCAGTTGTCATAGACACCACTGGCTAATTGGGTGAGTATTTGGTTTCGCTGTGAAATTCTGTGCCAGAATGTCACGCATGTGGCTGCAAATGCAGCATTAAATCTTATTTCCCATCTTCATCGAGACCCCCCCAACCGCAGGACTGACTCGGGAGTCATCGTAAAACATCCACATGGAGTTTAAGTTTCCATTATGTCACAGGAATTGCAAATCACACAAACAGAGGTTCTAAATAGATGTATTACTGGGCCTTAGAGTGTCCGGAATTAACGTAAGAACGATAAAGACAGAGTCAGTAATAGCCAAGGTCAGAATTATAGAAATACAGATAAACGGAATAACACACCAGGTCAGGATACCAGAAATACACAAAGTCTGAACAAGCCACAGTCAATATCAGAATCAATATCTCGAGTGATTTACTATAAACACTAACGTGTATCATGGCAGGAACCACGATAGGGCAAGATAACAGCCCAAATTAGCATTATATAAGCCACCAATGTCTTTGCTTGGTCCACGTCATCTCTGTGACTTCAAAATGTTTGATAATGAAGTCGTCTGGATGACCTGGTCACTTTAAGGGTGGGTGTGATGTCACAGCATTTGAATTAATAAAAGACGCACCATTAAAACGGCAGCATCTAATATTATGCAACGAAGAAAATGGCTAAGAGGATTTCGGCCCATGCGAACCAGCAGAGGGAGCTATTCACCAGGCTGAATGGGAAGTATGAAGGATTCACTGTTCAGGCTGCATGGCCAAATGGAGCGCTCAGGCTGCGCAGCCTGAGGAAGGGGGCAGCGCAGGCTCACAAAGCTTTTGGCTCGCACGGCCCTATGAGGAGAGCAGTGTGGGCGTCAGGAGCAGGGAGGTACGTTACACATACAAGAGGGTGGCGAGGTAGAGAGCAAGCTTTAGATATCCCCCGCCGGTCCAGAGGGGGGTAACGGGGCACTAATAGCGTAGCACATCATCTAGCCCATACTGAGCCACGAGATCAGCCACCGCCCTCGGCTTCAGAGCCAGGCAGACTTGGCTGCAAGGTAGCTCTTGGCATCTACTTCATGATTAGCTGCGCTTGGAGGTATTAGAATGTACCCAGAGGTACTAGGCCGCTGTCAGGGAAGTATAGAGAAAGTGACTATATATGTCCAGGAATGCAGAGCTTGAGAAAGTTGGGACTTTTTATTTAATGTTATATTTACTGTTATGTTATATTTTTAGATACTGGGATCCAGTGCGATTAAAACTGAAACCAGAAACTGTGCTCTCGCAGTAAGAATCTGTGTCTCCCTAAACCTCTCCCTGAGCCTAATCCTAAACGCTAACGTTCTATTAATCACATAGAGACACCAAATATTTCAATCAGTTCAGAATATTAAATAAACCTACTAAACTCCACACCTGCTACTAACCCCAAATCGGTCTTTATTAACACAAAGCCGCGCTGTATTAACCACAAACCGTGCTTTATTAACCCCCGAGCTGCGCTGTATTAACCCTCGAGCTACGCTGTATTAACCCCCGAGCTGCGCTGTATTAACCCCCGAGCTACGCTGTATTACCCGCAAACCGCGCTTTATTAACCCCCGAGCTGCGCTGTATTAACCCCCGAGCTACGCTGTATTACCCACAAACCGTGCTTTATTAATCCCCTAGCTGCGCTGTATTACCCGCAAACTGCGCTTTATTAACCCCCGAGCTGCGCTGTATTAGCCCCCGAGCTACGCTGTATTACCCACAAACCGTGCTTTATTAACCCCCTAGCTGCGCTGTATTAACCCCACCCGACACTGTATTAACCCCCGAGCTGCGCTGTATTAACCCCCGAGCTGCGCTGTATTACCCGCAAACCGCACTTTATTAACCCCCAAGCTGTGCTGTATTAACCCTCGAGCTACGCTGTATTAACCGAAAACCGCGCTTTATTAACCCCCGAGCTGCGCTGTATTAACCCCCGAGCTACGCTGTATTACCCGCAAACCACGCTTTATTAACCACCGAGCTGCACTGTATTAACCCCCGAGCTTCGCTGTATTACCCGCAAACCGCGCTGTAACGGATCGCCTGGCACCCCGACTGGGTACCTCCGTTGAAGGATGCTCTTAGCGCTTCCTGAGGACTCCAAGCACTCTGGCAGACACCACAATCACCGAATCTGAGAAGCATAGGAATCCTCTCTAGCATATGAATGCTGTAGACAGTTGAATAGGAACCATACGAATAGGTTTACTCTCCTAGCAGTCAAACTGGAACAGCATACAATAAATCCTTCCCCCAATAATGAGACAACACTTCACTTTGAGGGTTAAACAGGAACTCCTGTGCTGGCACACCCAGCCTGGTTTTTATTACAGCCTTTCACATACAGGACCGCCCACAGGGAGGTATAAAACAACCAATCACATATCAGTTACATCCCACATATTCCCTCCCCTTATCCTGAGAGGAAACTCAATTACACATACAGTTAAAACATACTTTCTACCCAACTTTCATAACTCTAAAACTATACATTACATTCACATAAAATTACATATTCACAATCAATCCATTCAGGGGAACAACATATTAAAAATGGCATGAATCCGACCAGGGGTTCAAAAGTTAGTAAAAGTATCTTTTGGGCCCTGGCTGGCACATGGCTATCTGGCTCAAACAGGTTTTACAGAGCCCTCTATCCTGGAGACAATGGAGGAAAGTAATCCAATTATCCAGGGATAGAGGCAGACTCCATTGAGCACATGGTTGCAAAAAGACATAAAACACTTTAAAATACATAAAGTCACCTTTTACACATAACACACCGACATTTCACATATCCCCAGATAGCTGGGATCTGAGCGCACAAAACTACCGAATAGCGCTCAGATCCTATTCACACAGTTCAATTGCCATGGAGCCGAAGTCTTTAACTACACGAATGGGCTCCATGGCATAGCTATCTGGGTTAACACATTCACATAAAGTCTGGTCCATAGTCCAAAGGCAAGAGGCGGGCAAACAGCCCCCTCCAAGGACACATGGCGAGGCCGGTTTCGCCACACGCGCTTTATTAACCCCCGAGCTACGCTGTATTACCCGCAAACCGCGCTTTATTAACCCCCGAGCTGCGCTGTATTAACCCCCGAGCTGCGCTGTATTAACCCCCGAGCTACGCTGTATTAACCGCAAACCGCGCTTTATTAACACCCGAGCTGCGCTGTATTAACCCCCAAGCTATGCTGTATTAACCGCAAACCGCGCTTTATTAACCCCCGAGCTGCACTGTATTAACCCAACCGGACACTGTATTAACCCCCGAGCTGCGCTGTATTAACCCCCGAGCTGCGCTGTATTAACCCCCGAGGTACGCTGTATTAACCGCAAACAGCGCTTTATTAACCCCCACGAGCTGCGCTGTATTAACCACAAACTATGCTTTATTAACCACCGAGCTGTGCTGTATTAACCCCAAGTCATGCTGTGTTAACGAACCCTGCACCTCACAGCATTAAATACTGCAGCCATAGCTATCCATTTTGTTATAACAAGGTGTGTTAAATTATCACTAATTATGTAACTGCAGATGTTGGAGCAATGAAAGAAGATTTCTCTGACAAAATCACTGGAAATATTGCATTGCGCTCAGCTGCCAATTCCTAAACTGAAAGATTTAACCTTAAAGCATGGTGAAATGGGGTGTTCTGGGATATTAAAGTGGCACTGTGACCGTCTGGGGACTTTGCAGATTTCGCAAAGACCCCCGAAGGTGACATTGCTGCTGGGAGTCTTTTTCTATTGCGTCCTCTTAAGCTCCCGTCGATCCACCACCAGGAGTTGGCGTCACTGCTGTACTCTCGCGCATTGAGCATTGAGGTGACCTCCATAGACAGAGCCAGTTCCCCGCAGCCACTGGTGACGGTTGTCGGGATTGACACTGTAGCTCCGCCCAGAGGTGGAGGAAGTCCCTACTTTGTCTCAGTATATCTCTCAAATGGGTTGGAATTTCAGTGAAATTGCAACACAGTCAATGCTAGTATTTCATAAAGATTCTATCTTCATGAAAAAGTAATCTTTCAGTGGGTGGGGGTTGACAATGACGCTTTAACTCCTTGTTCCCCACAGTAAAAACGTGTCGGATACACCTTCTCTCTTCCTGGGTAAGGAGTCCCCTTAGCTAAGACTTCGTTTTACTTCCCAGAGGACATTACGTCCCACCCTTCCAGACGTCGGCAAAGCAATATGGCTACGAAGGAGATCACAGGACTGTTTATTAAACCATGGCATAGTTATTGGGGAGCCATGCTGGGAGGCATTTCAATGATATGGGAATCCGCCCTGAGTTATTCAGGGTTCCAGGATTCCGGCTGCTGGGTGGCTGCGAAGGAGGTGGTTCTCTCCTAATTTATTTAGCTCGAGCGATTAACCCTTCCTCCCCTTGCGCTATGTATTATCTTGGAAACAGCACAGCAAGCAGCACACAGAGTTAATCACCAGCAGCCAGACTAGAATCTGAGCTGACTTGGAGAATATTTCCAGTTCGGTTTATTTTGGACTTAAATTTTACATTCACTATTGATTCCAGAGATGTCTAATTTTACTGAATAACCCCTAATTTAATTTGCTGAAATGTTTACACCCAGTCCAGACGTGCCCCGATTCCTTTGGGTTCTGTTTTGTAGGATGCAGTGTTTAGTAAATATCACAGCCATGCTATTAGGGTGAATAATTCATTGCACGAGGGACACGTCGCTGCTCAAGCACTTTCTATGCGGATGCTCTGTTTAAGGCTTTGAATGGTTGCTGTGACTACCATGTATTCCTGTTTCCATAGCAACCCCATTATGTCCCCATGGTGAGTCATGTTTTCGAGAAGTGCAGACAGTGACTGATATATCATGTGAAGCACCTGATACACCAAGTCTCATCATCACTTGCACAAAAGGCAGGATTGTGAGAGTTGTAGTGTGTATTTTAGCTTGTCCACCCCTCTGCCATTTAAAACAATAAAAATAAAGATATGACAGATTTTCTGACCTTTTATTTTTTTTTGAATGCTCTTTCTTACTGCTACGAACCTGCTAACCCCCTCAGTCCCTTGGCCAATGTCCCCTTTTAGTAATTTAGCTGGGAAGCTGTTAATGAAAAATGGTAAAGAGCAGGAGACTGATGCTAGACCTTGATAATAATACATGAAGAGTCAGAGTCCCAGATATGTCATCTGTGCGGTGGGAGAGAGATGGAGCGTGATACAATCTTGCAAATGTATCCGAGATTGAATCAGTAAACTCCTAATTATAGTGAACTGAAATTCCAGTCGCAGAACTTGGCTGTAACTGAGTTAGAGGTTTTCAACCAAATGAGTAATTATTTTCAAAATTTTGCAATTTGGTTTTCAATTCACTGCAAATTTAAATTTATTGAATAAATCCCCTAGAAAAATCAATGTTTTATAAGTTAGAACTACAGGATATCACCTAAATACAGTGGAGTTAAGCTCACTGGCACAAAGTGCCTCATTGCATTGAGGGAGCTGTAGACCCATAGAATCGTCTACCAGCAAAGGTGTACCACGAAAGTATGGGAAAAAAACAATGCTGTCCTAATCAGAGAACTAAGTCAAGATTAATCGAGGTACTTTCAAATAGAGAATCAGTGCTAGGTAGGGCTTTCTGTCAAACCTTTGTGGGTAAACTCACTAAACTGTAAATTGCGGAGGATTAACAAGAATTGAATTTTAGGACAAAATGACCTGTTTGGGATAAAAATAAATGGCAGCTGAGTAATTATTATCACGTTTGGATACTTTGATCTAAAATATCCCTTGTCAATGCTCGGATTGGATTACAATTTACGGAGTTATATTGTAATCCCAGATTTAAAAAAAGACACAAGTCCATTGATTTTAACCTTAAAAAGTACTCTATTCTTTAAATTGTTTTCAAATTGCTAGTTTCCTGTTAATCGGCACACGGAAGTCTCGGTAGCTCATGGTTTGAAATACTCGGCTATTAAAGATCCTTAGCAAGTCGCAGATTAAAAAACAAGATAAACTTGCAATAAAGTTGTTATGATAACCACACGTTTTGTTTTTTAACTTACATTTTATTGCTTTACTTATCTTGAATAACCGTTTCTTTTTCTGCTAGATATTATTAGGATTTTTTTTACATTTTAATTTTAAGGTAATAATTTCCTTTGAAAATATGATAAATTATAACAATATGAGGATCATTGTCTTTCATCTCTTTGAGGTTAAACAGGCTGATTGAATTAGCAGCGTTAGAGTTTTACTGTTAGAATGGTTCTTAAAGGGAACGTCACCACATTTAACCATGAGCACATCCTCACATTGCCTGCCTGGCTTCCCCTCGCTCATGCTTGTAGCTGACGGGAAATATAGAGCTGAATATTAACAGAGAATGTATCACCTCCTTATCATGAGACATCACATCTAACACAATATTGCTTCTTGTTTTAAGGAAAGACCAGCAGGCTGAGCCATCTCCCAGGTTTGTAATTTGGAGTGCGTCATTCATCCTCCATTACTACGTCTCCTTCATGTTAACCTCTAATTAATCTCCTGGCGGCTGAATGCTCTGCTTCTAACCTTCCATGTAATAAAAATGTCTCACTGAGTGTATGACGTAATCAAGGCATCCTGTCCTTCACACCCGCTTCTCATCCAATTCCGTGCTTCCATTCTCACCTGCTATTGCCCACCCGCTGTCCCCTATGAATTGTGTGCGCGCATGTATAATGCATCATTCTTCACAATGTCAGCCTGCTCCCCCATCGAGCTGGAGTTGTATTGTCAGTGCGGCTGTTGGCGTCAGTCTGATAGAGGCCGGACAGACACTGTGATCATGTCAACTGGATTTTCTCAGTGTCGATAGGATCTCCAGACCTGTGTGAGTCATGACATCACTCTTAATAAACAATAGTAGTGTCCATTAATGATGTTGCTGCATTAATGATGTCATCAAACTCATTAAGATGGACAAGTTGTGATGACATTAGAAGGTTCCTGCTGAAGTTGTAGTGATGTCATCAGAATGTTAGTGATGTCATCGGAAGGTTCATGTCATTGGAAGGTGGTAGTGATGTTATCACAAAATTAAAGCGGCAGTGGTAGTGATGTCATTGGAAGATTTACATGGCAGTGGTAGTGATGTCATTGGTAGATTAATTTGGCGGTGGTAATGATGACATCAGAAAGGTTGAGATGGTAGTGATATTGCTAGAATGGTGAATGGGATGATAGTTATGCACTAATAGTGATATTATCAATTTCATTAACCACGTACGAGCCAATGCCTTTATAAGGTAAAAATGTATTCTCTATTTGGTACGTTAGCCCTGGTACCTTCTTCTGTGATCTCCCTCCAACTACTAACGTAACGACAGACTGAAAAGAAGGTCTCGGGGGAGGGTGTATCGGCCGCCTCTAGGAAAAGTAATTGGGAATCGGTTGGGGGGGGACAAATGTAATTAAACTGTGACTAAACCAAAGTTACAAACTCTACTGCGTTTTTCATTTTCATGTGTAGATTTATACAGCAAGTCCCAGGCAAGACAGATAATTATCAAATAAAAGGTTACAGAATATCATGTTAGACATAAAATAAAAGAATCTCTGGAACCTGGACTACCATTAGACATATCTGCAGTTCGCTGGACTACCATTAGACAGGCCCAAGATGATGGCATCTCCCAGCTTTCTCTGGTTTAGCGCAGGAAATGAATCGGTCGTGCATTTTATTAATAACTACATTCTGTGGCTTCAATTAAATCGCTGTCAGGGTTATACAAAGTGTGATTTTTTGGGGGCAATTCAAATTCAAATGTTAGACCAAAATAGCTTAAAAATTCCCCAAAAATGTAAAATTTTAATTCTCAAAATGCAGACTTGTGCGATGTATTAGTTGTGAGGTATTCTTTATTATGTGTTTACGTGTGATTTTTATTTGTTGATTTGTTTTTACAGAGCCGTAGACTTTTAACTAAATCTCCCGGCTGTAACCTTCCAAATTTCCACATTTGTAGCGTTTATTCCCCAAACTCCAGGCGGCGGTGAATCGAATTTCCGATGGCAGAATTAAGGCCGGCATTGCTGATCAGAAAATATTCTGCAATCCAGCTAAAGTCCCAGTTTGGCTATTTTAGAATAAATTTTGCCCTTTAGTGAATTACCCTGTAGGTGACTTTAGATCTTGGATTCGGCGATTTTCCCGTCGCATACTAGTCTTTCAGACTAATATCCCCTCTCCCTGATTTTCAGTAAAGGGCGAACTCTCTGCAGTTGCTGCTCGGGGGAAAATAGGTACAAATTGTCAGAACAAAGATTGCTGCATGTCTGGACCTGCCCTCTAACCCCCTCATCCCCCAAATCATTCCTGGACTAATATTGTGACCGTTTGGTAGAGCTGCTGGAAGTCACAGGACGAAGTATCGGTTATCCTCTGCGGGATATCTCTACATACTGTTATTGAAAACTCTGCTAAATAAAGATTAACTAAAATATCAAGTGCTGGTTTTCAAGGAATGTGAAACTTTGTTTAGCTTTTCATTCCTCTGTAGCAAGTTGGTTTAAAATCAGAGAGCACTATAGAACAGGGCTATATTGTTATGGAGAGATCCCTGAAGATTACTTTTTTCAGAGACCCACTGGAAAAGTGAAAAGGAGCTAAATTGCCTAAAACTTTCCGTCGCGCCTGTCTGCATTCCCCCTTTGGCGACTGGGCACAAGAGTAAGACACTGGGGTCTAGATTGTAGGAAAGTCGATAGAATAACTTTTGCGATGCAGAATAAACCAGGAATAACCAGGAAACATCTCTGGTGAAGGCTGTGGCAGTTGACAAAAGTTGACGTTAGCATAAAACTAATTATCTCCAGATTTGTCTTGTGATATAGTTTTATGCGTTGGAATATCTGTGACATCACAACGCAATCAACATGCTCCAAAAAGATTCATCGATATGAAAGTGACATCGTCTATTGTATAAGTGACACAATTAAAGTAAGGAATTCAGATTTGGTGACCTCCTGAGACTTCAGGCAGCTCCTCTACGCAAACAGCCCAAAGGTTTTCCTTAGGGTAATTTATTTTCTGTCGACAGACAGACACACAGAAGGATTGCTTCAGATATTCAGATGCGTGGAGGCTGGAAATGGTGCAAAACCAGCAAATACTGAATTTTGGTTAGTTTTTTGGGGAGGTCGGTTGGCCCATTGGGAGCTATGCGCTCTTAATAATATCACAATTTCACAGATATTTTTTTATAGACATGACTTGCTAAAGTTAAAGTTTTTTTAATACAATGAAATAACTAAAGATACTGCACTCAAATTTTTATTAGTGTGCAAAGATATGCTTAGAAAAAAAATCACTCCAAAACAAAAAAATACAAATTCTTTAGACTATAAATTCTAAACTCTCAGGTATCCAATCCATTAAAAAGTAAGCATGTATGAATGTCCATAAAATGTATTGCAAGGCCCTTCGCAAGCGCTATTCGGGCCCGGGCTCACAGCACTCTCTGGATGTCCCTACACAATCCATGATTCAGTATTTGCTCCATATCTATCACATCACTTCTGCCCAACGACGCTTCTCTGTAGCGTAGTAAGGGGGGGGTGCCAATGGGTGCCAATCAGTACGGGGGTGCCCGGGCATTCTTAGATAGGGGCGGCTTTTTGCGCCCCTGTGTCTGACATAAGGCACACGTGCTGCCTATTTGTGAGGCCCAGGAGTCTCTGTGTTAAACCTATATCAGTAGCAGCAGCTCCTCTCCCATTATGCGAGAACATTGCCGCAGGTTGCTATGGCAACGCTTTGCCGGGCGCAATGCATGCTGGAGCGTTGCCACGGGAACCTGCGGCAATGCTCTCGCGGGTCGCGAGAAGAGCTGCTGCTACTGATATAGATTCAAAACGGAGACTCCTGGGCCCCTCTTCAGAATCCAGACTGCTGTGCCACCGGACCACCAGGGAAAGGTATATTCCCCCATTCCTGACCCTCAGCAAAGAGGCAGGGTGGGTGGGATAAGCCACATTTAAAAATGGTTCATCAGACCTGGACACCCTGCACCCCACACTGTCACCCCCAAACCCTGCCCCCTCCACACTGTCACCTTCCTGTTAACCCCAAACCCAGTCCCCCCCCACAATGTCACCTTCCTGCCCAGCCTCCCCACATCCTGCCTCTCATACTGTCACCTTCCTACACACTACCCCCACACTGTCACCTTCCTGCTACCATGCCCCGCCACACTGCCACCTTCTTACACACTACCCCCACACTGTCACCTTCCTACACACTACCCCCCCACTGTCACCTTCCTGCTACCATGCCCCGCCACACTTCCACCTTCTTACACACACTACCCCCACACTGTCACCTTCCTACAAACTGCCCCGCCCCCCACACTGTCACCTTCCTACAAACTGTCCCCCACCCACACTGTCAACTTCCTTTAAAGTTAGGAGGAAGGGGTGCCAAATTTAGGATCCGCCCTGGGTGCCAAAAGCTCTAGGTACGCCCCTGTACTCTGCTCATGCTGATTTATGGTGCTCATTGCTGCTACCAGTATTATATGAATCCCTCTCCACTGGCTCTTTTGACGTTGTTAAAGATTTAGGGCTCCATTTGTTTGCAGGTATTTCTATATACTTATTGTTATTATTTTTATTTTTTTTGCACTAAGCTATTTTTTTACTCTACTGATACTAATATTAATAAGATTGTGCCTGCTCTAAACAGTTTGCAATCTATTTATATTTCCCTCTAGTATTGGTACATCACTTTGTTTCACCTCTCCGTTTTGTTTTGAATTTCTTTTTTGAATTTTTCTTTCATTATTTTATTTACTGTGTTTTCAAAAAAATTTCCCCATATTTTTTAATTTTTCACAATTTTCCTTTTTTTTTCTTATTTTACAATTTTAATTTTCTCCTTTGTATGTTTTTATTTAATTTTTTTTGTCATAATACCTTCTTGGAGGATACCCAGAATCACTTCAGAGCCTCATATATTATTATTTTTTTAAAATATTTTTTTCTTTTATGCTTTTTCCATTTTTGAATAATTCTATATATTCACAAATGAGACACATGCGCTGTTAACCACGTGGTGTTGTCTTTTTGGCCTACGTTTTGTGCTTTTTTTTCATATTTTTTAATTTTGTGAGTTAGGCTATCCATTTTTTTCTGAATAGACAGAAGTATATTACATTGTCAAGTGCATGCTTTTTTATGGATTGGATTTCTGGGATTTGGTCCTAATGGACTAAATCATTTTTTTCCATGCATATTTTTGCACACTTATAAACATCACTTTTTGCATATTCAAATCTTTTTGAGTGCGCTATCTTTATTCATTTTATTACGTTTTCTGCATAGGGAGTTTGGGGGTTTATATGTTTTTTAACACCTACAAAACAAAAAATTTTCTTTTTAAAAGTTGCACCATTTTCTAATGCCGCGATAGGCAAGTTCTGCCTTTCATACGCTGTGCCCAACATCCATCATGATCATGTCTCAGCCTTCATTCCCAACCACATCGTCACTGCTTAGGGAAATGCTAAAATGCGTAAACGGGGTAGTCATGTCTGATTGTGTGGCTTGCTTTTACTAGTCCTGTCTGTGTGTCTTGCTTTAACTAGTTGTGTCTGTCTGTGTGACGTGCTTTCACTGGTCTTGTCTGTCTTGTGACTTGCTTTCATTAGTTGTGTCTGTTTGTCTGTCTGACTTGCTTTCATTAGTCCTGTCTTTTTTGCTAGTTGTGTCTGTCTGTCTGACGCGTTTCATTATTCCTTTGTGTCTGTCTGACTTGCTATAACTTATCTTGTCTGTCTGCTTTACATTAATTAGTTGTCTGTCTCTCTTTCTTTCATTAGGCCTGTCTATCTTTCTTTATTTCATTAGTCATGTCTGTGTGTTTGTCTGACTTGCTTTCATTAGTCCTGTCTTTTTAGCTAATTGTGTCTGTTTGTCTCTCTTGCTTTCATTAGTCTTGTCTGTCTTCTTAGCTAGTTGTGTCTGTATGTGTAACTGACTTGTACATGTTTTTTTTTTTTTAACCTGTCTTTTTTTGTGTATGAAATAAAAGCATTTTGCAGCAGATCAGTTTGTTTAATTTTTACGTTCTTTGCTTGTGCATGTTAACCAGGCCATCAGCAGATGACATGTTGTCAACAAGAGACAAAACAGTGATTTCAAACTGCCTCCCAATGACGTTTTAAATGGCAGATTGCCCCCAGATCCACCAATGCCGAGACGGGAGGTATTTTATTTGAATGGGAGGTTTGTCACAACCAGCAATTTAAAATGCAGTTTTCACAACTCATTAATCCACTGAGAGCCAGAGGAGGGAGCCTCTAACAGATGTTTTTGGGTCACTAGCAGTTGTATTACATGGAGTAGCTGAAGAGTTGCAATACTGTAATATTGTGGCCAGCCTAAGGCACAATTGTGCAATAATCATGCTGTCTAATCAGCATCTTGATATGCCACACTTGTGAGGTGGATGGATTATCTCGGCAAAAGAGAAGTGCTCACTAACACAGATTTAGACAGATTTGTGAACAATATTTGAGAGAAATAGGCCTTTTGTGTACATAGAAAAAGTCTTAGATCTTTGAGTTCAGCTCATGAAAAATGGGGGCAAAAACTAAATTGTTGCGTTAATAATTTTGTTAAGTGTATGAACCAAGTGATATTTATGCGTCCCGTAGCCATGAACTTCTTGAGATAATTCTTGAAGCAAACTGGCCAGGAAATGATACTAAAAGCATTGCCAGGTCATTTCACATCTCTGTGCCTTGAGAGAACGGACACATTGAAATGGTTAAAGGGTTCTAGAGATAAGTCGGCCACAACAGATTCACAAAAAAAATAAGTCGGCCACCAGTCGTCCTCCGTTGCTTGCTGTAGGCTAGACTCATGTGTGTTTGCCAAGCTTTTCTGCATCGTGTCCACTCATCGTGTCTTTCTTGGCTTTCTAGTGTATGAAGATGTTCTCTTTGATCTGTCATTTAGTGTCTTTCTCTCACCTCCTTTGTAACAGCCAGAAAGTAAGTCTAAAAGAGAGAGTCTTCTCCAGCCCCAGAGGAGTGGCCTCCAAAGGCAAAGGTTCCCCTCAATCTCAAGGTTTGCGGCGTTCCCCAAGTGCAGACCAAAGCTTAGATGACAGTCCCAGTAAAGTGCCCAAGAGTTGGAGCTTTGGGGACAGAGGACGTACACGCCAAGCCTTCCGCATTAAGGGGTCAGCGTCACGGCAAAATTCCGAAGGTGAGAGAGGCTTTCGTCAAGTTCTGACCTACTCAAGGTATACGTGCTGTTACCAGTATATTATTTGTATTAAACCAAATTAGGGGCTTTATATAGTTCGCGATTTACTACAAAGCAGCAGATTATTTAATATTCTTAGCTGTTCCTCTACTGCAGAAAATGTCCCTGGAAGTCTAACCTAGACTTTCCTAGCTGAAAATAAAACGTGTAGACCTACTCTACAAGAAGTAAAAACACCCTCCCAATTCAAGTGCCTGATTATGCGGAGAGGTTTAATTTTTAACACTTTCTAATAAAATATTTGTATACGTTGTCTACAATGTGGGGATTAGGCTTAAGTAATTAAAAGCAAAAACACAACACTAAACAAAGAGCTGGATTGATGGGTGATACACGACTTGTTTTAGATCTTGAACCCCCGTTACTGAATATTAAATTGATAAATGGGAGCTTTATTTGCCTTAGCAGCTAGTCTACCAGGAGAAGAAGTTGCAGATGAAAACAGAAATTGCAACTGTGAATTTCTTGCTGACGATCTGACGCCAGGACTGAAGGCCTCCATCCGAGCCGTGTGGTGAGTCAGAAACTGAGGGACCATCATGTTTGGTTAATACAGATTGACAGAATAACGATGCCCTGTATTTAAATAAAATTTTTAAAAATTACCTGCGCTCTTTCCCAAATCCCAATGTATATTTAAACAAATGGAGTTTATTTAGTTACTCCAATGGCCACTAGAGGGAATGCCCACCTGCCACGTCAAGGCAAACCTCTCAGGTGGGTCCTTGAGCTTCTGGCAAAGATATCTCTAATGAGACAGAAAGGGGTATTTTTTATATACATCCCTACATACTTATTAACCCTTAATAGGGAACACATGGGATGGATGGCAGCTTTGTAACATAGCTGCAGTGGCGTCGCTAGGGGGGAGGCAGAGGGGACCATGGCCCCCCTACATCATGCTGTGCCCCCCTTGGGCCCCCCCCAAATGCCGTCAACTTGCAGGAGAGAGGAGCTCAGCTGGAACGGTGCTGGGGCCGGAGAGAGCACTGACAGGCTCCCCGGCATAGGCCCCGCCCCCAAACAAAGCCCCGTCCCCGCACATAAGACCCGCCCCTGCCATTAAGCAGCAGACCATGCTGCTGCTAGAAAGGATGGAAGATGGCTGTCTGACCCCCAGCAACAGCCTCCAGTGACAGGTAGGCTTGGTGTGTGTAACTAATTAATGTAAAGCAGACAGACTCAGCAGTATGTGTGTGTATGGACTCAGCAGTATGTGTGTGTATGGACTCAGCAGTCTGTGTGTATGGATTCAGCAGTCTGTGTGTCTGTGTGTGTATGGACTCAGCAGTCTGTGTGTGTATGGACTCAGCAGTCTGTGTGTGTGTGTGTGTGTGTGTGTGTGTGGACTCAGCAGTCTCTGTGTGTGGACTCAGCAGTGTGTGTGTATGAACTCAGCAGTCTGTGTGTTTGTGTGTGTATGGACTCAGCAGTCTGTGTGTGTGTGGACTCAGCAGTCTGTGTGTGTGTGCATGAACTCAGCAGTCTGCGTGTGTATGGACTCAGCAGTCTGTGTGTGTGTGTGTGTATGGACTCAGCAGTCTGTGTGTGTTTGTGTGTGGACTCAGCAGTCTGTGTGTGTATGGACTCAGCAGTCTGTATGTGTGGACTCAGCAGTATGTGTGTGTGTGTATGAACTCAGCAGTCTGTGTGTGTCTGTGTGTATTGACTCAGCAGTCTGTGTGTATGTGTGTGAACTCAGCAGTCTGTGTGTGTGTGTATGGACTCAGCAGTCTATGTGTGTGTGTCTGTGTGTGTATGGACTCAGCAGTGTGTGTGTGTATGGACTCGACACGCAGTGTCTATACAGGGAGCACTGACTCTCCCAGGATATTATACACACAGCCATGTATTATACAGAGAGCAGCACTGTACAGGGACCGCTGACTGTCCCAATTTATTATACACACAACCCTGTATTATACAGACAGCACTGACTGTCCAGGGATATTATACACAGACAGTAATTGATAGCTTTGCTGCAAAATATCCTTGGAATTTTTTTTCAAATGTTGGCAACTATGGCAATGTATCAAGGGAAATATGTTTGTTTTTTAATAATCCCTGTTGGAAAATAATGAATCCTCCACCAGGGATTATTAAAAAAACAACACACATTGTGTCAGAAGCGGGGCTTAACATGCGGCAGGGGCGGGGTCAAATTGCGGCGAGGGCGGGGTTAAATGTGCCCCCCTACTTTTGTCCCTGGCCCACCATGTGCCCCCCCCCTAAAAAGTAATCCTAGAGACACCACTGCATAGCTGTGTGATACAAAAGTGAATACAAATACTAATACAAATAATAGCAAAGTGACAGCGCTCATGTGAAGCACATCTGCTCATAGCGCAAACAGCTCCGTTCCCCTGAAAGATTTACAAAACTTTACAATGGCCACTGTTCAAGTTGACAGTAAAACCGTCAGATGGGTTATTGTCGTTATTATAAGGGATTTGTACTTCTAGAGCAGTTGCCGTTGCTAAAAGTATTTCCATCATTACTGAGAATTGCTGCCTTGTTTTCTAACGTTGAAGTCACAAGGTAACGTTCGACCAGTTTTATCAGACAATCATTGAGCGTCTTCTGTTTTGTCAGCATTATGCGGTTCATGGTGTCCAAACGAAAGTTCAAGGAAAGCCTCAGACCGTACGACGTGATGGACGTGATCGAACAGTACTCGGCCGGACACCTGGATATGCTCGCCCGGATCAAAAACCTGCAGTCAAGGCAAGCCATCAATGCACACCACTTTTTAGACGTATACACACAAACACACAGTATTTCACGCGGACAACCTGCTCCAATGGTTCTACAATTGTTACAATTGATTAGCTGTCTGATGGCCACATTTGCTGGGTGACTGCATTGTGTGCCAGGTCAATGCACACAGGATTTAAAACTGAAATACAGTGAGGCATATTTGGACTGAATATTCCTGTAGCCCAGAGTCCATCATGCTTTGCTGTACTTTAGTGACGGTGTGCACCAGACAGTAGACCAATAAACATTACTGGTGCAGCTATATCTGCAGACTGGATGAGTCCTTGGCATTGTTCTTGTGTCTCAGTGTGTGGCAGTGTGTCCCGGGTGCGTGGAAACATCTATTTACATTGTGTCTCAGGTTGGAAAACGGTGAAGGGGATTTCCTGTATCAATTCATAAAGGGTGTGAATTGTGACTGGGTTTTTAATAACAAAAGAAGGGTGCAATCCTCACATGAAGTCACTAGCGACAAATCAGCAGGTAGAGGCAGCAACAAGGACAGTCAAGACAGCCAATGCTAGTAGCTTAGCCAGGTAGTAAGTACTGCAGCCTGTAAAATTAGTGTGGATGGCATGGGCTCTGTATGGGTGAGGGTCAGAACAGAGCATGAAATATGGTCAAAGCAGAAGAGGAGAGTCAGAGCATTGGGTTGGTCAGTACAGGGGTTAGGATTGGAGAATGGGAAAGGTCAGTGCCAGGGGGTATGATCGGAGCATTGGGTAGGTCTGTGCAGGGTAGGATTGGAAGACTGGGTTGGTCAGTGCCAGGCGGTATGATCGAAACATTGGGTAGGTAATTGCAAGAATAGGATCGGAAGTTTGGGTAGGACTGTGCATGGGGTAGGTCTGTGCAGGGGGTAGGTCAGTGCAGGGGATAGGACTGGAAGTTTGGGTAGGTCAGTGCAGGGGTTAGGTCAGTGCAGGGGGTAGGACTGGAAGTTTGGGTAGGTCAGTGTAGGGTAGGACTGGAAGTTTGGGTACGTCAGTGCAGTGGGTAGGATTGGAAGATTGGGTAGGTCAGTGCCAGGGATTATGATCGGAGAATTGGGTTAGGTCAGTGCAAGGATAGGATCGAAAAGATTGGATAGTTCTGTGCAGGGGGCAGGATCAGAGCATTGGGTAGGTCAGTGCAGGGGATAGGATTGAAAGTTTGGGTAGGTCAGTGCAGAGGGCAGGATCGGAGCATTGGGTAGGTCAGTGCAGGGGGCAGGATCGGAGCATTGGGTAGGTCAGTGCAGGGGGCAGGATCGGAGCATTGGGTAGGTCAGTGCAGAGGGCAGGATCGGAGCATTGGGTAGGTCAGTGCAGGGGGCAGGATCGGAGCATTGGGTAGGTCAGTGCAGGGGGCAGGATCGGAGCATTGGGTAGGTCAGTGCAGTGGGCAGGATCGGAGCATTGGGTAGGTCAGTGCAGTGGGCAGGATCGGAGCATTGGGTAGGTCAGTGCAGGGGATAGGATTGGAGGTTTGAGTAAGTCTGTGCAGGGGATAGGATTGAAAGTTTGGGTAGGTCAGTGCAGATGGTGGATTTGAGTATTGAGTAGGTCAGTGCAGGGGATAGGACTGGAAGTTTTGGTAGGTCAGTGCAGGGGTCGTAAGATTGTAAGGTTCTGAGACGTGGTAGCTTGCAGTTTCCGCACCCAGCGCACCTTGCCGTATATGACAATTTGTCCCTTGTTACTATTGCAGCACCGTGTCTGTCATACTGTGTCTTTGTCCTCCCTTAACCATAAGAGATCAATCGCTCTGTTCTGTGCATTTCCTTCACTGTTAACCATAGGAATATACGTTGATCTATATTCACTGTTTCAGCCAGGATATTGCCACGTACATACTTGTATTTATATTCCTACACTTCGAGCCACACCGTCTGTGGCTGGCGGTTACGCAGCATCCTACACACTCAATTCAGCCAAGTGGAATATATTTTCAGACTCTATAAATTTTATCCTTTTTCCTTCTTCTCCCCACGTTGCTTCATTATATATTCTGCTGGTATTTTTTCTATTTGCTTTTGCCAGGATAGATATGATTGTCGGCCCCCCAGCCCCTTCAACACCCCGGCATAAGAAGTTTCACAGCAAAGGATCTGTGCATTCTACCAAAGAATCTCCCCAGTACTCTCCTAGGTTAGGATTTAAGAAAATCGCCTTTTTGTCTGGACTTCTTTATCTCTTTTATTTTGTCTGAAGGCGAACCCCTTCCAGCCTGTGGTTTGTGATGGCATCTAGAAGCTGGGGAACCTTTGGCATTGAGATGGGGATCACAAGTGGGAAGTTTAAAGATTGGCCACAGTCCCTGTGATCCATCACCCACCACGACCCACTTCACCCCAGATCAGCGAGTCATGTCACCCCATGTTCTGCATGGGATCCTGAATTATATGTGGGATCATTTTATCTAGATATGGCCACAGCAATAGTCATCTTGTAGAATGGACAGAACTAGCCTGGAATATTTAATCCTCAGTGTCAGAAAATATATTGAAAAACAGCTCCTACCCTGAACTTGGCATATATATAGGGGAAGTTCTGAGGGTGGAGCAATCACCGTGAAAACATAGGGACATGCGTCCTGATTGCGCCACTCTTAGACTTATTATTATATGGAAAGTTTTGAAATATATCAGAAAGTGCAAGACTGACACCAAATCTAGAGCCCGCTAATAAAATAATTTCCAAGAAAAATGTATTGACCACCCGAGGCTGGACCCCAGGGGAGGGAGAGACATGGGGGCTAGTTCAGGGCACCTCATAGAGGTAGGTGAAATGCTGCCTTACAAAGGTGACCCTCACCATAGGTAAGTGTCCATCACACGTGGGTGAAAGGGGTTTGCTGGATCTTTGCTGCGCTCAGAGGAGAAGACAAAGCATCCTTTCTTTTACTTTGTGCTAGCCGTCTGGTGGTGGTCATTACTCTGCTCTGGGTGGTCTGTTGATTGCATGCCCGCATGTGGAACAGTGCAGCATGAACAAGATGGCATCGTGGCTGATGGGCAGTATTTTCATGCTTTTTCTAGATTTCGTTTAATTATAATTCCTGTGTCCCCTAAAAAATTCATCCCTCCAGAGCAGCCGCACAGGAATCCACGGCCAGTTCCACATGGTGGGGTACACGCATTTTACAGCCCCAGTGAGGGTTAGTTGGTCTTGGGAACGAATATATTACTGTAAATATTAAAGGTAAACTTGCTCCTCAAAACTATTTTTAGTTTTGAAAGGAAATAGGGTTTTTTTGTTTTTTTTTAGATGTATGTAAAAAAAAACACACAAGAAAAACTAATCGCTGCCTTTACTATACGACAGGAGCCTTGAGCCAAGTACATCCACCTCGGGTCAGACCGGATTTCAATGAGCCAGTTATTCGGTCTGATGATCTCACTACATTGTGCAGGGAAGACCATAGAGACTAACTATAGAGAGAATATAGAGATATTCATACACTGTTCGACCCAAGGTCAGTATATATACGGGTGAAGGATCCTGTCATATACTAAAGGCTGGGATTCATTTTTGTCTTTGTTGGTTTTTTTACATATACTTAATTTAACACAGAATCCATTTCCTTTCAATACTTGATGAAATTATCATTATATTTAAAATAGTGTTGAGGTGACAGTTGTCCTAGAACCCCAGAATTTATTATACACACTGGTAAGGGATCCCCTCCTCTTCCCCCTGCCCTGAATAGCCCAAAATATTTCAGCAGATTAGATAACTAGGTGAAAAATATTAAATGTAGGGGCAAAAGTGGCTGAAACTCACCAGAAGGGGCAGTAGTGAGAACTTCATCTGCTTCTGCAGCAAAAGTAGGTCTTCATTGCCCTAGCACTTACTACCCCTTTAACAAGGAGTATAGCATTAAATACTACATTTAAATAATTAAATAGCTGATACAGTAAATGTTACTGTGGTCATGCAGGTTACTGACGAACACAGGTCATGCTTCTACGATAAATATGTAACTATCCAGTTCTGGCAACTGGTCATCAGTCTGGTCCATGTACAACAAGTGGTTTATATCAGGGCTGGCACATGGAGCCATAAAGGCAGCCCTGTTTTCCAAACAACTCCCAGACAGGTGTAGTAGGCTGTTGCTTTCTGCCTTGCAGTATCCTGGCCCTCCTCACTCCATCTGTCATTGTGTGTGTGTGTATGTGTCCTATCCATCCTGCCTTTACCTAGTGCACGTGTCCACATGGTTGGAGGGAGCCCTGCTGCATCCAGCGTGACTTTGTGAACAGTGGAAAGAGAACAGAAAGGGGGGAATGATCCTTACAAACACTCCCTGCAGGCCATGGAAGAGTTACACATCGGTCTACCAACCCTTTATCAGCAAGTTGAAGACTCTGGTGACAACTTGTCACATTCAGTGGCATTAGAGACATTCAGAGCTCAGTTTTGACAAATGTCAAGAGCTACTTACACCTTAATCTTCGACATCCAAATTGCACATAAAATGTCAATTATTTATTTGACTTGCCAGGGCACATTCAGTTTGGCCACACGTCACTGGCAGTCTATGTTTGGATGAGCAGAAAGATTGTACCACTGCTCCTTTCTAGCTCTTAATCACCTCAATGTAGGGCACATTGACACTATGAGCACTTCTTGTTCCTGCATTATAAGAAGTGGGCTCTCTGCTCTCCTGTTTAACTCTTCCTAGCATGCCTGTTAACACCCCTTCCCTTAAAACATTTAATGTTCATCGGATTATGAGCTCCTGGCCCTCAAATACAACAAAGGTCCTCTGTAGTTGCACTTCGCAGTTTGTAAGACAGAGGGCTTCAAAGCTTTGGTGTTGGACTTTTCTCTGGTTGAGAGGGGTGAAGTTTCTCTTGAGCCTCCAACAAAACAAATGTTCTGTAGCACTAACTCTTGAACATCTTGGGGTGTGTTTCTGTTCTTGGTAGAGTGGACCAGATTGTTGGAAGAGGAGGCTCAATCACCGACAAGGACAGAGCCAAAGGAACGGCTGAAGCAGAGATGCCGGAGGATCCAAGCATGATGGGTCGACTGGGCAAAGTGGAAAAGCAGGTGAAATTCAGTGGGGCTAATGAGCAGGTTGGGCGAGGTAGAATGAGATACATACCCGAAAATTAGTAGCATTGATATATTTTCCTTAATTAATGAGCCATGACAGACCCACAATCTGTGAAAATGTCACCAGTTCCTTAATATTAATCAAAGGAAACCGCTAAAACACTAGAAATGCCCTATAGATGTCATTATTTATATAATTAATATGTTTATTATCATTATTCTTATTAGTTCGGATTTGAATGAAGTTTATTTTTTTCCAGGTTATGTCCATGGAGAAGAAACTGGATTTCCTTGTGAACATCTACATGCAAAGAATGGGAATCCCACCTTCCGAAACAGAAGCTTACTTTGGGGCCAAGGATCCTGAGCCAGCCCCCCCATATCATAGCCCGGAGGAGACCCGGGACCCAGCAGAAAAGAATGTTTGCATCACCAAAATTATCCGTTCCACCAGTTCCGTGGGGCAGAAAAACTTTAGTGCTCCACCTACCCAAGGGACAGGTCCCACTCACTGCCCTCCGTCCACCTCATGGCATCAACAGCAACCATATCACCGGCATAGCCATGGCTCCTCTCCAGTCGGCGATCCAGGCAGTTTGGTGAGAATTCCTCCGCCACCATCGCATGAACGCTCACTCTCCGCATATGGAGGGAGCAGGATAAGTGGAGGAGAGGAAGGGTTAGCCAAACACCGGGACCCTGCAGCCCTTCGAGATAGTGATACTTCCATATCTATTCCTTCTGTGGACCATGAGGAGCTTGAACGTTCTTTCAGTGGGTTTAGCATTTCCCAGTCTAAGGAGAACCTGGATGTTCTGAACAATGGGGCAGTGGCAGCAGGTCCTGGTACCAGTGGTAAAGTCCGCCCTTACATCGCTGAGGGCGAGTCAGATACAGACTCAGACCTTTGTACACCCTGTGGGCCACCTCCCAGGTCAGCTACAGGGGAGGGACCTTATGGTGACATGGGGTGGTCCGGTAGCAAGTAAGCCGCTACAGAGTTCTTTTTGAGACGTGTAGGCACTGAGTGTGGGGGAATTAATCCTGTCTTCTCCCTCAAAGGTGCAGCCACCGCAAGGACATTAAGGGTAGAAGTGTGTCACCGTTTGTGAATGAAAACTATTCATCACGCTGAGCTTGTGGTTGGGTGTTCAGGGCTGACATTGCCTTTTTAATTCCCAGCCTGTAATAATGTGGCTGTGTATCCCTTTACCTTTATGAGTTACACATCCAATATCAGAGCTGTGTTTCGATTTAAAGATTCACGTATAGGAATCAAGCCAACACAATGACCAACAGTGCTAAACTCAATATATGGCCCAATCTGTGCCAACGACATAATTTGATTGGCAGCTATCCCATGGTTTATATATTTTTCATTGTGTTTATAGAAAAATAAGGGCAAGCCACATTTATATGTTATAATGTTTTCTTTTATAAACAGAGTTCTTCATTTTAATGTTGTAGACTCAAAATACATTATCCTGAAGTCACATCGTCCATTTAATTCTAAACTACTTATTGGCCCTTGGCCCGGTAGCCAGCACAGGAAGGAGAAAGCTTAGAATTTTTGCTTTCGGAGGCAGACAGTCAATGCTTTAGGATTTACTGGAGAAAAAACACCACGAATTGGTGAGCAAATGGTTGAGGAAATATCAGCTGATGCCTTCCTCTGCACCATATGTACTAAAGAACTGTCTGTCCAGCGTTCCCCTGGTGACGGGGCGAGATGTCTTTTAATGTCACGGTTTTACTCGATTATTTTATGCTCCACCCACATTCTGCCTGTGCGCACCTCACAGAGCCTTTATTTGTTGATTTTTACAGTGCCTTGGGTGCCTGTTAATGGGGCCTGGTCAGGCTACTTCGTTATTTTAAAGGTCTCGTTGACATCTCTCTGTAGAACATCTGTGATTTTTAGAACCAAGATTGATAATAGCCGTGTAATGGTTTCTATTGACCCCCTTGTGGCTGCGCTTCTGAGGGATGAAATGTTGCCCGCACTCCTCTGTTTACACAGGAAGTAGTTGCTGAGGTTATAAAAATATTGTGAACTTTACAAAGCCTATTGGCAACTTAAAGGGACAGTTGGGAGAAAACAGTTTACTTTTTATAAAAAGGGGGTCCCACGAAGCCCTCAGTCCCTTCTGATTGAGCTGCCGATCTAGACCCTTCTAAACAACCTCCGCCTTTGCCTGGGTTTTTTTGCATTTTCTTTTTCGGCCTTGGCTTTAGTTGCACTTTGCTCTCCAAAGAAACGTCTGATATTGCCTTTTATTGTTGGACAGACCGGGCACGCGCCTCCTGGACACATGAATCCCGCTGGGAGGATAGAGGCCGTGCACACGTCAACACGCTGTCTGCATCCTGGGTTTCCAGTACCTGCTGCATGGCTGTATGTGAGATGTTCTGCAGTGTTTCCACTCATGTAACATTTAATTTATACTTTATGTTCTGCATTGTGACTCTTCGGCCTTAATGCAACCGCTGCAAGAAAAGCATGCAACATCTTGCCACCTCTTTGCAAACGTCTGTGTCAGGGAATGGGTTAAAGGCAAGCAAAAAAAATAAAAAAACACAGACACATAAATATATATACACGTTAACAAACAAATTCTTAAAGGAACACTCTGGGCACCATAACAACTTCATTTGCCAGTAGGCCGGTGACATCGGCTCACATTTAGGGGTTAAACCGTTTGAGAAAGTAGGTGTTCCAGCATGGGATCTCTCTGCCTCTCTGTCCTTCTGTTTGCTCAACTTTTGGAAACTGCTCTGACGCTATGAGCAATAAGGACAGAGAGATTTGGCACTGGAACACAGACTTTGGGGTTAAACCGTTTGAGAACGGCTTAACCCCTAAACATGAGCAAGCGCCAGGGACCTCCAGGAACCATAACACTTAATCATGTTGTTATGGTGCCCAAACTGGTTCTTTAACCTTTAACCTCTGGCTGTCAGGGGTGCCAGTGGGTCTTTGCTGTGCAAAGTGCCACTGCCTGGCTAGTTTAAAAAGGGTTAAATGTTGATATTTTCAATATGCTGAAATGTCAAGGAATATATTTTTAAAACTGTCAGTTCTTTGGATTGACTGACTGGTCCATTTTACACGCCTGCTCACATTTTATTTAGTAGGAGCGATAACTCAATCAGCAGGCATTACAACAGGTGTCCTGCGGCTCTTGTGGTTTTTAGCAAATCAATCAAATTCATAGCTGAGGCTACCTAATGGGTTTTAATGGTGGGTCTGGAGGGTCCCAATCAACACAGAACCTACAGAGGACTTAGAAAGGACAGGATTCTAAACGGTTTCACACCGATGATAGGCTGGGACATGGGGGGAGAAGAAATTATACATCGTAGGTAGGACTGCCAATCCACCAATCAGCCTTGTACTTACAGAATGTAAGCTCTTTAGAAGAGACCAGAATGCCAAACTGCGAATCCAGTGATTGTTTGTCAAGCAGTTCTGTTTGTGCTAGAAGTGCAGATTGCCTGCTGAGGTCTGACATTGAGTTGAACCTATTCTGAAATACTTTGCAGCATTTTATAATTCGAGTCCAATTCATAGCGGAGAGTTTATCCTGGTATTGGGCTGTTGTAATCTCTTGTGTCCTTTTATGTAAAAGATATTTAGGTCTTTATTTCCCCCCTCCAGACTCTCTTTTGTCAGTGAGTGAGGGTCAGTACTTTCTCTAAGCATCACATATCAGGCTGCTGCCACTGATCCAAACAGTTAGGCAGACCAACTGCTGTCTGTAGAATACTCAGGGAACACAGCAGCTCACACTGGAGGGGGCAATTAACCAACACCACAATATCGTTTTCACTTAAGGGATATGGACATTGCAACTCTGCAGGGTATACAATTTTAAAGGGACTCTCTAAGCACCAAAACTACTCCATTTTAATGCAAAGACCATTCTCCTGCAGTATGACGAAGGTAAGCATTACCATTTGGGAGAAACAGCAGTGTTTACATTTGTTAGTCAGCATGCCTCTAGTGGCTGTCAGTCATTCATATAACCACTAGAGGCACTTTCTAGTTAAGACTGTTAATAAAGTGGATCTGTAACATATTTTGCAAAGACTCCGAATGTGACATTTCCACATAGGGTCTGGTGGCCGCAGGGAGCAGTAGAAGGTGGGTATACTTACCTGAATCTGTATCTTGCTACCACTTCCATCTTCTTGTGGATGATGTATAGCTAAAGGTGCCTCATCTGCCAAGAGCCGCATGTCTGAAAGTACAACATTGAGGTCTAAGTCTATTAGAAGCTCTGTATTTAATGCTTCCATGAGGCCGAGCGGCTATTGCCATTCCAATGCATGATCCTAGATTATCAGAATCTAGGTTCCGAGACAAGGACAACACTTTAAACAGGCCCCAATTATCTAAACGAGCGAAGGAACATGCTAACTTTATCATTTCTTTATAACATTAGAGTGTTCCTTCAATGTAATCTACAATGTATCCAAAGTAATTATTTCCTCAAAAGCTATTATTTTCATAAATCTGATGTCCAGTCTATCCTCTCCAAATCCTGGGAAGGACTGAAGTTAGCAGAATGCAGTTGGTTATATAGAGAGTTCTCAGTGCATGACATTTAAAGAGGCTCAAATTGTTATGTGAGCTCAGCCATGTATGTAAAATGTACCGGAATATGCCTAAAATGTTAACCCTTTTTCTGTTAGAGGCCATGCGTGATATCCTGTAAATGCTAGCTTCTTAGTCCAGGGTGTGGACGGTTTAACCATGCCTGCTCCCTCATTGCAGTTAAAGAGATATCAAGGTTTTTCAGAGCCTTGCCGAGTGCCTTTCTACCCAAAGAGGGCACCATACCTTCACAGAACGACATTAAACATGTTTGTACAATCTTCTGGCTGTGATTATTTTTTTTTACCCAGAGACAGCGTCTGAGGCTGCGTTATTCGCCTTTCACTCTGACCTGCAAGGTGTGGCATTCATAGTCTACAAGGAGTCTGATAATTAAGGATGTAGTGAAATGAAATATAATTCTCAAAATTCAGTCTAAAGTGACCAAGCTGCGATTAGAATGGAGTTTTTCTCTATATTTTGCAATTCACAGTTTAGTTAATACACTGGTTTCTGACTGTAGTATGTGGGTGCAGAGTCGCCATTAGGGGGTACAGCCCAGTCTATACAAATACAGTATCACTATATAATATAGTGCCAAGGAGCAGTGAGATCATCCACCCGGGTTTATTGCACATTTGTATATGGGAAGGAAACACTCAGTCGTTCCATCCGCCTGGTCATCTCTCTCACAAGCACCGGCTGTCAGACAATTGCCACATAGAGCTTGCAAATAAGTAGAGGTGAAGGCTGAAAGTGTCTAGAACCACTAGGAAATGCTGTGTCCCCTGCTTTGACCAGAGGCACGAAGCAGGGAGGGAAGAATAACCTAAATACAGCAGAAAAAAATAAATTACATAATTATAATTTTTTTTAAAAAAAATCTGTTCCCTCTCCACCTCAACGGAACACATACACCCTTTCTCCCTTACACACACACTATATTCCTATAAACATATACTACTTTCCTAAGCACACACAACATCCCTTATACACACACACAAACCACACTGCGTAGCGTTCACGAACCTTGGTGCTCAGCCAGGCTCCTTAACCAAATATTGTCAACACCCCCAGACAGTTTCCATGGTTATAAAGCCTGCTATTGCTTGATAAAAACACATTATTAAAATAATAGCATCCACGCTATACCCTGGGCAGAACCGACCAAAGTGTTGGCCTACAAATCCCATGAGACGATATGAGTTGCGAATCAATCTGAAAATTTTTGACCAAAACACCCGTTGCTGAAAAAAAATCACTGATGTGTCCAACTTTTTCCCAAACTAAGTTATTGTACAAAAAATGTTATAATTCAGTTTATTTATTGAGTAAATCCCAATACGTCAGGCTATTACTTGTAATTCCCAGTAAAACCACATACACAGCAGAGACCCTCGAAAGGGGAGCAGTTTATTGGCAATTGCCAGATAAGTGCTCATTGTTTTATGGAAATAGCTCAGATCTGTTGTCAATATGGGCTCTGTCACTCATCGTCTATGCATCAAGAGCCTTCCTGGCCGGAGCGGAGATCAGTCAGCTATTCCCATGAAATTGTATGACAGGCAGCCACCGCACGTGTTGCCTTTTGCTGATTCTCAAGGTTACCGCTAATGCGATGGACAAATTGCAGGACACTTCTAGCTGTACGGCCGTTCACATTCCATTCACGTTCAGATGAACAAACTCTATGTGACTCGCTTTCAGATGGTTTATTCTGTTGGGTCTGAAGTTTCCCAGATTCACAGCCAGAATCATTCTCTATATTAGGTGATATCAGGAATTCTAATTAATTTTCTCATTTTTAAGCCACAATAATGACATTTGAAACATTCTCCAGGAAAGATATGTTTTCCATTAATCCGTTTAGGCCTTAACTTTGAAATTCTGTTTGAATTCCTGACAATTCACACCTTAGTAAGTACCTGTGAGATATCTGTAGTGATGGCTTACCTTAGCATTTGCAGATGTTTTTGAACTGCTTTACCCATAATGCTTTCGAGCCTTGAGGTAGTGCCAGCTAAAACTGCTTTGGTCTGTGTGATCATACTGTGCACAGGACCGAATCAAGGAAGTTTAATACAAATCTAACGTATTTCAGCCTGTGTCCACATACTGTCACTGCGGCCCTTTTAATGTGATGAATTGGCAGTTGTAGGATAGTGGGCTCTGCCGCAGGCTGTGAGAAGACATACATTAAGCAGAATTACACTGGGATTCTAGGTTCCAAACATTAATTTAAAGTTATTTTACATTATATTATGTTGATTGTGTGTCTGTGTAGGAGACTGTGCGTGTCCATGTTTGTATTTGAGTGTATATATGATTGCAAGTCTATGTATCCTTGCATGTTACTGTGTATGTATGTGGGGGGCAAGAAAGGGTAAGGGAGAGTTATGATACAGACAATAAATAGAGAAGATGTAATGTGGGTTAAGAGACACAAGAGGAGAAACTAACAAGAAGGGTCAGGAAATATCACAAAGGGATGAGTGATAATAGTGTTCCCTGATGGCAATGGTGTTATCAGCAGGACAATGCACCCTGTCACACTGCAATAAGTGTCCTGGAATGGTTGGTGGAACGTGACAGAGAGTTCAAGGTGTTTCTATGGCCTTCTAAATTCCCCAGATCTCAATCCGTGGGATGTGCTGGAACAACAAATCCGATCCATGGAGGCACCACCTCGCAACTTGCAGGACTTAAAGGATCTGCAGCTAATGTCTTGGTGCCAGATACCACAGGACACGTTCAGAGTTGTGGAGTCCATGCCTTGACGTATCAAAGCTGGTCTGGCAGCCAAGGGGGACCTACATGACATTAGGCAGGTGGTTTTAATGTTGTGGCTAATCCATGTGTATCAAATTGGAATGCCTGCAATTTCATCTATGCAATACCAAAGAATTGCCTCTAGGGGTCAGGAGAGATCCACTTCAGTACAGCTCCACAGAAATTACTTGACATTTTACTTCTATTTTATCATATATTCAACAATGAAGAACCCATGTTATGGCAAAACAGGATTATGATCTATACACATTAGTTTTGCAGATTTTAGTTATGAAGAAAGGTTAATTGAAATCTGTTCAATTTGGAAAAACAGCCTCTCAGAGGAGGTATGCAGGGCAGACTGGGGATACAAAGCAGCCCTGGAAAAAAAATCTATGCCAGCCCTATAAGTCATTGTGCCATATATTGTCGCGTGTAATATGTAAGGCTATGTACTGTATATATATAGCCTTACATATTATATATATATATATTAAATGTTTTACTCTGCAAGGACCAATATTTCATATTTCTTTTTCTAAAATAAAATATTGGTCTTTTCAGAGTAAAATTTTTTTTAATTATACAGTAAGCATACTCACATGCAGATACAAACAATCTCACTGACACACACAAGCTCATTGATACACAGCCTGATAGACAAACAAACAATCTCACTGACATACATAAGCTCATTGACATAAAAACACAAGCTCACAGATGCACACAAATAGGCCCACTACAGACAAGCTCACTGACACACAAATACAAGCTCACTCACTAGCAGCCACACACACACAAGCTCACTCACTAGCAGGCGCACACACACTAGGTCACTCACTAGCAGGTACACACACTAGGTCACTCACTAGCAGGTACACACACAAGTTCACTCACTAGCAGACACACAAGCTCACTCACTAGCAGGCACACACATACACAAGATCACTCACTAGCAGACACACAAGCTCACTCACTAGCAGGCACACACATACACAAGATCACTCACTAGCAGGCACACACACACACAAGCTCACTCACTAGCAGGCGCACACGCACACTAGGTGACTCACTAGCAGGTACACACACAAGTTCACTCACTAGCAGACACACAAGCTCACTCACTAGCAGGTACACACACACACTAGGTGACTCACTAGCAGGTACACACACAAGTTCACTCACTAGCAGACACACAAGCTCACTCACTAGCAGGCGCACACACACACTAGGTGACTCACTAGCAGGTACACACACAAGTTCACTCACTAGCAGACACACAAGTACACTCACTAGCAGACACACACACGCACTCTCTTACTAGCAGGCGCACACACACTAGGTCACTCACTAGCAGACACACAAGCACACTCACTAGCAGGCACACACATACACAGGATCACTCACTAGCAGACACACAAGTTCACTCGCAGGCACACACACATACATACACAAGTTCACTCACTAGCAGGCACACACATACACAGGATCACTCACTAGCAGACACACAAGCTCACTCACTAGCAGGCACACACATACACAAGATCACTCACTAGCAGACACACAAGCTCACTCACTAGCAGGCGCACACACACAAGCTCACTCACCATTTTGTGGCCTCTTCCTTCCAGCGAGGTCACCAACATGTGTGGGGGCGGGGCTTGTGTGTGGGAGGTGGAGCTATCATCAGGAGGTGGGACTTACATGCAGGGCGGGGCATGCGGCCACAATTAATGTCAATTTTAAAGGGAGACTGACAGGTCTCCCTTCCGGTCGCCAGCAGCCTAATTGCGGTCACACCAGCCCCCAGCTCCTCCCTCATTACCCCCCCTTTAAATTACAGGAGTCTGTTAGGTGTCTGATGGTGAGGTCCATCGGGGAATTTCCCAGTATCCCGGTGGGCCAGTCCGGCCCTGGGGGTATGATAGCATTATACAAATATATTTGCGGTCAATAAACATCATTGTCTGAAAATCTAGGTTTTTTACTGTAAGAACTATAAGGATGTGGAATTCTCTGCCTGAAGAAGTGGTTTTATCAGAGTCCATACAGATGTTCAAACAGTAACTGGATGAATACTTGCAAAAAACATAATATTCAGGGGTATCATTTTAATTAGTGGGGTAATAGCTTCCTGATCCAAGGAGACATCTAACTGCTATTCTGAGGTCAAGAATGATTTTTTTCCTAGATTGTTGTAAAATTGGAAGTGATTCAAACTGTGATTTTTTCCTACTTTTGGATCAACAGCAAAAACGGTAACTTTAGAAGTATGTAAGTACAGTAAAACTAAAAAGGCTAATTATTAACCCAATCACTCAATGATATACTGCACATTATTTCTATAGACAAATATCATTTTCTTTTTGTTAAAAACCTCCTTTAAACCCAGAATCTCATGAAGCTAGGCTGATCCACCTCTTTGTGCCCAGCACTAACGTCTTGTTTATGCCGGCAGTCTCCGTCAAATTTCTCTCATAGAAAAAAATGTTGTGGAGCACATTGGACACAA